CCAACCTTTCCATTTTCTTTTAATTTTGAAGCATCTGTAAATAGAGTGTACCAGTCATGCCAGTCTTTGGTCAAAATTTTTTGGAAGATGTTATTTGCTTCCGGTGAGGTTTTAGTGATACCGAAATTAAGCAAAACTGTAGGTTGAAAAGTGAGAGCCTCGTATGGAGTTTCAAAGATAGAAATTTTAGATGATTGTGAGATTGGAGATGTTAACTTTTTCAGATTATTAAAGCTTTTAACTAGGGGGGGGGGAAGTTCCTTATAAGTCCAGTAAGTTGAATTTATAGTATGATTTGCCAATTTTTTGAGTTTTCCTAATAGTGGGTGGTTTGAGTATTGTGCAATATTGAATAAATATCTATCACTCATTAGCTGGCGTCTAAGATGAAGCGGGGGTTCAAGGCATTCTACCTGCATGGCGTTAATTGGGGAGGAACGCATAGCACCAGTAATTATGCGAAGACATTTAGATTGAATCTGTGTTAATTTCTTCAGGGCTATTTTATTGCAGGGTTCCAATACAAAACTTCCATACTCAAAATGGCTTCGGACTATAGCGTTGTATAGCTGTTTCTGACTACAAGGGTGGCATCCCCAATGGACACCAGATAGAGATCTAAGGATGTTGACAGATTTTTCTGCTTTCTCGCTGATATAATCTAAGTGCGGTACACCAGTCATTTTAGAATCCAATATTATGCCTAAAAATTTACAGTTATTAACAACTTCAATCTGTTGATTGTTCACGGAAATGTTCAATGGAGGTAAGATTCTTTTGCGCGAAAAAATAAGGGCTTTTGACTTTTCTGGTGACAGAGAAAGACCATGTTCAGTGAGCCAATCATCTAGATAATACAGGGCAGAGTTTATTCTCGAACTGGCGTCCTTAAGGTCCTCCGAGGAGATATACAGTGCTATGTCATCGGCGTATTGTAGTATTCTGCAGAAGCTATTAACTGATCTGTCCAGATCATATGTGTATAGATTGTATAACAGTGGGCTTAAGACAGAACCTTGAGGAAGTCCTTTCCAGACAGATCTGTTTGCAGGATTCCATTCACCCTGACCGTAACAGTTCTAGACATATACAAGCTACTTATGATGTTAATCAACCTCGCTGGAAGACTCAGATGTTGCAGTTTTTGCCTGAGCAAAGGAAGTTGAACATTGTCATATGCAGATGTAACGTCTAGGAATACTGCAATCGTCGAAGCATTGACAGAGAAACCTCGTCGCACGTCAGTGGTCAGAATGCTGAGGCTGTCCAGTGTCCCCATACCTCTTCTAAATCCAAATTGTGATTTGGATAGGATTCCCTTGTTTTCAACTATCCATTCTAGCCTATTTTTAATAAGGTGTTCCAAAATTTTACAAAGGGTGGACGATAGTGCTATAGGTCTATATGAAGATGACTGTTGGGGATCTTTACCGGGTTTCAGTATGGGTATTACTATTTGTGTTTTCCAGGAGTTTGGAATAAACCCGTTTATAAATATGCCATTAAAAATTTCTAATAATATAATTTTTGTGTTGTCTGAACAGTGAGTTATAAAAGAGTAGGGGATTCCATCTATGCCAGGAGCGCTGTCCTTCAGCCCATCAAGGGCACCTTGAAGTTCTGGAAGAGTGAAAGGGGAATCCATACTGTCCGAAGAATTGATTGGAGAGTATAAAGGGGTCATGTCTTCAGAGGGGACAAAAGGGGGTGCTAATTTGTTGCAGAAATTCGGGAGCCAGTTGTCGATCTCGTTGGATGAAGGATTACTGTTCGGGGTTACTGATCGTCGGAAACTGTTGATCTTTTTCCAGACAATAGAAGATGAAGTGCGTGGGGATAAAGAATCGCAAAATTTACGCCAAGAAAGAGTTTTTTTGTTTGCAAGGATTCTTTTAGATTTAGCAGTGACTTTTTGGTAGTTAGTATAGTTCTCATAAGAAGTCAGATCCCTAGCAAATTTTGATTCTGCTTCATTACGCTGTTTGATCACTTCCGTGCACTCTGCATCCCACCAAGGAGGTGATGCGATTTTGTGTGAAGAGCTGTTTTTAAGGGGAATGGTTTCGTCTGCTGCACTTATCAAGGTTGCTATGAATAGGTCATACATTTCTAGATAATTTTCAGAATTGATAGAGTGGAACTGATTCAATTTGGAGTCTACATTTTTAGAGAAGGAATCCCAATCAGCTTGGTTGGTTTTGTATTTAAGAAGGGGGGGAATGTCCACACTTGGGGGAGACACGCCGTTGAGATTGCATAAAATTGGGAAATGGTCGCTGCCATGTGTATAAGGTAAAGTTTTCCAAGATAGAGTGGAGAATAGTTCCGGGGAGGTTAGAGTAAGATCCACACAGCTCTTTTTTTGAAGGGGGGATACTCTGCGTGTTGCAGACCCGTCATTGCATACACAGAGATTTAAGTCATCTATAAGATCTATTAGGGCAGCAGAGTTTGGGCAATGATCAGTGGAGCCCCATAGTGGGTGATGGCAATTGAAATCTCCAAGGATAATTTTACATCCTTTTATATGTGTCTCAATGATTGATTTAATTTCTGTGATTGTATTAACAGATGGGTGGGGAATGTAAACCGAAATTAGGGACATCTTCATGGTTTTCACTGCCACCATTTGGAAGTCATCGCTATGAGGGGGTAGGTTAATTTTAGAATAAGAAACATTATGCTTTATTAGTATAGCTGTACCGGCTCCAATTCTGCCATCGCTTCTGTCATCTCGGAGACACACATAACCTGGCACCCTAAAAGAGGCATCAGGCTTAAGCCATGTCTCAGAGATGGCTAAAGCAACAGGTTGAAATTTATTGATGAGAAATACTAATTCAGTTTTTTTATGTTTAATGCTCTTGCAGTTCCACTGTATTAAATTGGCCATTTTTATTTAGTGAATGTAAGAAAGCTTCCAGTAGTGTTATGACATGGGGCGGTATGGCATCACTGAATTTCTCCAACATATTTACCATGGTAGAGATCATGAGTTCAATGAGGTTATCATTAGGTGAGGGAGATTGAGATCTTACATGTGGGCAATTTAATGCACAGCCATTAGACATAGTTGACGTGGGAGTGCGAATAATGTTTTTAGCTTCTGGATCATACTGGCGGGGAATAATTGGACGAGGAGATTTAGCTATGAAAGTAGTTTTTTTATAAGAGGAATGAGTGGGTGTGAGAGGAGAATTAGTGCTGGCTGTCGCTTGAGGTTCAAGACTAAAGTTAGGAGACATAGGCTGTGTCCGGGCCTTCTCTGCATAAGATGGACGAGATGAACGGAATCTCTGAGAGGCATCCGTAAAACTAATATTTTCTTCCGACATAACTAATTTAATAGCTCTCTGGCGCGAATGTTCTGGACAGTTGGCATCGATTGCTTTATGGCTGCCACGACATAGAAGGCATGATACTTCATTATCTGGCACAGAACAGGTAGAGCCCAAGTGATTCTGACAGCAGCGATGACATCTAGCATTAGATCTGCATTGCTCAGTAACATGTCCAAAACGACAGCACTTCCAGCATTGAATAGTGGGAAGCTTGTAAATTTCTACATTTATAGACATATTGTAGCAATAAATTTTTTCAGGAAGTTTTTGACCTTGAAAAGTTGCCACCACTGTAGTTGTAGGGGACCATGTTGTCAAACCATCGACATATGACTTTTTACTAAGGCGCCTAAGTTTTATTACAGGACCGCAATTATAGGTGTAAGATAGTCCATAGAATAATTCTTCAAGGGTCCATTCAGTAGGAATCCCTCTGATGACACCCATGCGTGAAATATGGTATTTAGGAATTTGACAATTGTAATTCGATTCGAGGGGATTAGTTGCAAGGAAAGAATTAGCGGAATCTGCAGAATTGAACTCTACTGAAATTTTATTGCGGCCTACAGGTGTAATCCCGCCATTAACTATTCCTTTTATTTTATATTTGTGTAGTATCTGAGCCAGTTTAAGGGTGCGGATTGTCAAACCAGAAGAAGAGTCTGGTTCTTTGCGTGATATTTGGACAATAAAAGGGCCTTGGTCATTTGTTGTATAGGTTAATGGAGCATCTCCTTCAAATTCTGGGTTAATATAGGTATTTTGCATAGATTCAGATGGTTTAGTGTTCCTCTTAGGAGCTATGACTATATGGTCTAGTTGTGACGCAGGGCGTTTTAATGTTGAGTGACCATCTGTATCCATAGTTATTGGAGTAAATAATGGTTGGGATTCAGAACCTAACTGACTGGGACGGGGGTCTTGGCCCCCGCCCCCGTCAGGAGGCTCTTCATCGGACATTTAATTAAGGAATTATGTTTAGTAAACACTTACCACAAATAATGGGAGTAATAATAGACACTTACACAAACAGGAAGGACAACACAATACACAAAAGAACAAAAACTCAATTTGTCGATAGGGAATTCGTGATTCTACGCGAACACGTGTGTCAATCAACACCGAGAACAGCAGAATCATTAATTATGAAAGAAAACACGATCACGTTTCGCGTGACAGCTTATAACATCAACTCAATCACTATGACAAATGTCAATCAATCCAGTCATGCATGATATTTATTATACCAATCTACAATTGATTTTCCTTGGAATAAAATACCCACAAAATTCCCTAATAATGTAATAAAAGACGAACAGAATAATAATCACTGCTTTAGTTACTTATTGAATAAAATATAGTTGATGCTTTGGCAACAAAAAATAGATAAATAAACTTGCCGTTTACGAATAAATTATTATATCATTTAACATTATAACCCCTGGTCTGTAGGAATGGTAGATTTCTACCAACGTCAAAAACCCTAGTCTGTGGAGATGGTAGATTTCTGCCACGACTTGAGAAAATTATTTTCATATTCAGTAATGGTTTTTAATTTACACATCAAATATGTACATAAGTTTGTAGATAAACTATTGAGAATTGATTTAAGACATAAATGAAGCCTTTTTATACAGTAGAACTCGAATAATAAGAGGAAAAACAAAATCGAGGGCTTACACAGACAGCGGTTTTGAGCGCCATTTTGCTTATACAGTTGACGGGATAATATTTTTAAAATAAAAACGGTGATAAAATAAATTCTGATTTCGTCTCAAAATATTTATATTTGTGTGTACTACATCTCATAAAAATTTGGGAGTCTCCCGGAGATTCACTACCACCCTCCATACTTTGAATCGTCTCTTTTAGCCTTCCAAATACCGATACTTTGGATTTTTCCATATCGATATATTCGATTTTTAGGTACATCGTTGCAACCCTATCCTTATTGGCATTTGGCAATCCGCTGATTGTCGAATTGTTGGATGTGAATTTATTAGTATTTATTTCGTATTTATTATGAAAAAATGTGTTTTGATGGATTAATTTAGTGGAAAAATGGATGACAACGAATTCTTTAGCCAAACAGTGCAACACCTTGCCCGATGTTTATCTAATATAAACCCTACACCATGGGAAAAGGTAGGTTACAGTACAACAGTATTGTTTTGCAATGATGTTATGATACTATTCGCGGATATCATGAAATTTTAATAGTAATTAGGGTAAATAGTCTTGCATTTGTAATACTTTTTACTGCGATTATATTTTATACATCAGAATTATTTTGACTATATAATTTGACCATGAGATGGACAGCTGTAGATTGTATTTTAACATCATTTTGTAATGACAAAAATAATGACTCATACACTTGTTGTTATAATTATTATTCATATAGATAATACTATTTGTATTTATACTGTATGACACAGCAAACAAAACGCAGATGCACAATCTATTATCTATTAGACAAGTCCGTCCCTCCCTCTGTCTGTGGTGCTGTTTCAGCGGCCAAACCGTAAGAGATAGATAAAGAGAATGTTTAAGTTATAAGTTAAGAATAGTCTGATAAGACTACAAACCGGATTTGACATAACGTAGCACTTCCGGTTTTCGAGAAATCACGAATTTCAAACGAAACCACACAAAATCTCCAAAGTTCTCAATAAATTAAATATTTTTTTTTTTAAATCAGGTTTTGGTGAACATTTGGTTCACTGGTTTGCTAGTTAATGTATATTTCACATTATGTAATGAGAGGTGACTTCATGAATCATCTCTGGGAGTCATTTTTCAACTTAACAACTCTGTAAATAATAAAACAGGGAGAAAAAAAACAGCCCTTGCTGAGTTTCTTGCTGGTTCTTCTAAGTACAAGGTCTCCCGCGGAAGATTTACAAACCGATGGCATAGCTTCTAGACATTCATGAGTGCTTGTAACAGCCTAAACTGAATAAACGATATTGATTATTAAGAATATAGAATTTATGTGCATATCCATATTTTCATGCCAATCCTGAGTGGGGTAATCAGAGATATTGTTTATCAACATATTAACACATATTTTAATATACTTAGTATCTGACATGAGATGAAGTTGTTGAAAGTTTCAAGTTCTCTTTGAACCTTTGATGTCACTAACATCTAAAGTTGCTATTAGTCAGCCTACCACCTAATAATAGTGACACTTGTTCATAATAAACATTACTGGTTCATTCTGTATTTCAATAATATGATAACTTCATTATCTCTCCATAATCTTATACATAAACATGTTTCATAGGTAACAGTTTATAACACTTATGACTAAGATTGTGAGAGACTGGTAACCAAACTAAGCTTACGCCTGCACCTCAGTGAACCAGCCTCTCACTGCTATAAGAAGGTGTTACAGAGGCTATATTGGAGAACCAAAGTTAAATTTTAGTTGTTTCAGCTTTGGTTCTCTATTCTTCAATGTATGAGGTATACCTCAAAAGTGGGCACATGGAAAATATCTTAGAGGTTTTTTTAATTTATTATTTTAGGTGAACACACTGTTTATGCTTTGCCCGCAAGCCAGCTCTGCTATTGTGGTAAATCCTCGTAGCCAAGAAGCGTGCATTGCACTGGGACTGTACTTTCTACAGAGTGGATTGCAGCATCAGGATAAGCTACTACCATACTTTTTGAAGGTTCTTAAGTCTCTCACACACGCTCAGTTTGAAGAACCACTGTATAAAATAAAAAATGCAGACCGTAAGTATGAACAAGTTTTATAATTACTGTTTCTTTTTATGTTCTTTAGTGAGTGTATTTGAGGTCTTGTCTGACAGAGGTATGAGTGTCTCATGGGTCTGGCACAAGTATATTGTGTTAATCTTAAATAAATCTTTATATTTAAAAAATAAATCCCTATCCCTATTTCTTTGGTCATACCAAAACATGAGAACAGCTATTACCTAATACTCTGCAGAAGTCTCATAAGGAAGAAAAGAAAGTTGCACAGTAAATTTGAAATTTTAAGAGAACATACATTCAACTCTACCAAATAAATGGAGTTACATTTACTTTTTTGTTTCTTTTATTTTTTCTTAAGATAGGACAACATCTGTCTTTATATTTCATAATAAATAAATATTAAATAGACATAGTAAATTAGTATAAGTTTATTTAATGAAAATAAAACAATATTGTGTCTCTTATAACTTTTCAAGAGTAAATATACCCCTTATCTTGATTTTATTTACCCTGAGATCCTGCAGTTTGTCCGGCTCCATTGGCTGCCCCACCAGCATCAGCTCCTCCGCCGACTTGGCCCGAAGCGCCAGCGTTAAATCCCATGGCAGCATTAGCTGTGAAAATATTTTTTTCTTCTGTTAAAACGTTATAAGAACATGCATGTATTGTATTGTCAGAGTCATATTTTGTAGGGAAGTAGTCAGATAGTTCTTACGTCTGTTAGCGGAGCTGACAAAGTTCGTACTTGGGCCTCAGCTAACACCAAATATGGGTGACAAATAATAGTAACTGGATATAAAGTCCAAAGTTGAAAGACCAGGTTGACACATAAAACAGAATTTCTTTAAAATAATTTAGCTGCCATTAAATTAATTTAACAAAGTCTGATCCAAGAGACGAAAAAATAACATAAAACAAGAGCAAAATAGGCACTTTTAAGAAAAAATTCAAACCCATTTTTTTAGCAACTTTTCAACAGCATTACATATTAGGGTCAAATCTATCAATAGCAATGACCTAAATAATAATGCCCTTAAAAATCTAGGTCGACTTTTCCTGTAACCCTGTATGTGGCTGAGGTTTCATATTTAACTAACTATGTAATAAATAGGAATCTGTACCTACCTCCCATATCGCTTCCAGCTCCTGCACCACCTCCTACACTACCTCCAGCTTCTCCCCCAAAGTTGCCACCATTTTGTGCTATTAAAATTTACATTGTCTATTTCATATACATTTGAGATATGAAGCATATTGAGTACAAAAATAAGCTAAATTCGTAATAAACAAACAATAAATCAAATACATATTCAATTGCTTGATTTATATATTTAGATGGACACAAAATTAAATGCGTCAATTCATGTCATGAAATGCATGACAAAAACTTAATTAAATTATCATTTAGATAATCATGAACTGGATGGGAATTGTCTTTAAACAAATTCCTTTTAAAACCTTCGGCATAATCCGAAGTGACACTATATGAGGTTTTTAGTAAATTTTTTTTGTAATCAATTTTCCAATTTTTTTTCAAACAGAAGTTCTGGGGATATTAATAGGCTAGGTATAGGATCAGATCTTTGCATTTGGGGGCTCACAACCAAAGGTCACTTTTTTTATGAGTACACTAAATGTTGTAATGATAAAATTAAAAATCACCTGAGGCTGCTGTAGCATATTCCTGAACGCTCTGAAAATTAATTAAAATACATTAAATATTTCCATTAGCTGTTTATTATTTTAATTTATAAAGCTTAAAAATAAATAAATTTTAATAAAAGTACTTACAATATTCAACAAAACAATGGCCACAAGCACAATTGAAACCCTCAAAGCCATGATGATGTTTTATTTCAGAATAGTACTTCAGTCCAATATTTGCTTCTTTTATACGTGTTCTATGCTATTTTTATCATAGGACGAGTAAGGGAGGGAGAGGTGATGATTTTATATAAATGTTAAAATAATTATACTTAAATAGTCACATAGCATTGAAATGACCTGTATTAGTCTGCAAATGTCTGTAATCTTACTGTGATGACGGTGTTTATAATGATGCATCATATATGGTGTGAAAATGGCATCTATTATAAATAGTGTTTGTTCATGAAAACAAACTTAATTTGTACTTACGTTATTAACTATCATGACAGATGCATTTCGTTCATTTTTTCATAGAAATCCCTTGTTGTTCTGAGCTACATTTTGCAGTTCATTGAGTTTTTGTTAATAATTTAGTAACCTATTGTTACCAAAGCAATGTTTCATTCCCTATTAGTATTTTACCAGTTATTTCCTCACAAAATGCTCTTTTCCAAGTTTACCTTTATGTCCCTACCCTTCTCCAAGGTTACCTTTTAATCCGTACCAAAATTCAACATAATCGGTCAAGCTATTTAAGCTGTAGCGTATCTACGCATCGCGTCTAGGTGTAAACTGACCCTTATTGGCAGATTAACTTACGCATTGATAATATTTATTATTAGTATGAATATTAAATTTAATTAGAATGTTTCGTATGTGTCCCGAATGAAATACACATTCAAGTGCTCGATTTAGTGGTTGCGCATGTTGGATTGTGTGTGTACCAATTGTCGTATATTGCTTATTAAAGCATGAAGAAAATACAAAATGTAGGCAGTAGAAGTGAAAAAGCATGCTTCTGGTAAAGCATTAAAGTGCATTATTAAATAACAGAATATTAACATAATACAAGCTAAGATTGGTTAGATGAAAACACAATCGGAAAATTTTTGAAAGTTATCTTAAAAGGAGATTCATTAAATATATGAATAGAATGAAAGTAAAGTGAGACACCAAATCCGATGTTTGTCTTTTTAGGCCATGGAAGTAGGGAATAATTATTTTATTTATTCACCACTGAAATTGTTGAATGTTACAATGAATAATTATACCCTTTTGTATTCACAGGTATACCCATGTCGGAAAAATTCAGCTTCTGCTTAAATACACTCCTCTCTGATATCGCTGCCAAACAACATTCTCTGAGGGAGGAGATCATAACATCCCAAATAGAGCTTATGTCCAACTTATCAAAGATCATAATCAGTTGCCACGAGAATAAAGATAATACGGAAAACGTATCAAGGCTACAACTATGCAAGAATACGATACCTGTGCTTATAGGTTTGGCCAGATCCATGGGTCGGTATGCTACTGTAGATCCACCATTATTATGCAGGTTGTACCCACAGCCAAGCAGTCCTGCGAAGACCAAAGAGCCGGAACCAAATTTCGAATATTCAACTTTAGATAAAAAGAGGAAGTTCAATCAGTTCCGTCCCATAATACCACGTTCCCTATCTGGGAATTTGAACCCTAATAACGAGCATATAATTGAGAACGGTACTGACGTAGTCGATGGAGGTACTCTGAAAAGAGGCTCTCTACACAGTTACCAAAGCGTCCCGTATGATCCAACTACGTACTTTTTTCATAAGTTCGGATCCAGTTTCAATCAATTTCCATACATGAGGTTCTCCGAGTCGCCAGAGAAGAGGATCAGCGTGCAATTTTTAGTGACATATCTTCAGTCTATATTGTCGATCGCTAAGAGGCTTCTAACCAAAGATCTTCTAGCATTTTTGGATGAGGAGACTGAGGACATTTATGCTTCTGGTCAGATTCAAGTAAGGAGTTACTAGTAATGCTGTTTATTATTTTGCTGATGCAAAATTATTTAAAATTATTTGGTTACTGCTGCCAACTTCAGCATAGTAATAGCCGGTAGCTTTCAGATGTTAAAGTTTTTTATGCTGCCAACGAATATTAAACTAGACGTGAATTAACAAAGTTTATTGCATCATGATTTCGTTTTCAGGTGTTCCCATACAAATCTTTTTCGGAGACACTGAATTTGGTTATGGTGACATTGCTTAGAGAATTACTGCAGCATCAAAAGGATTTACCAGGTCCATTCACGAAAGATGTACAGGTAAGTTTACTGTTTGAATGAAGAAGACGTTTTTTTGTTCTTCGGTTATATCACAGACTCCGGTTCATTTTTTAATTTTTACCTAATACTTATAAAAGTAAACGAATTTTTTTTATAAAATTAATTTTCTTTTCTTTAAATATTAGATATTTAATAGAATGTTATTACTAATTTCATTAATAAGGTACAGTTAATTACTCTACACCACTGATGTTAAGTGTACTTGTAATTTATAGTCCGGACGCGGAAATAGCTGGTGTACCGACCAAAAGTGAAGGATTCTATCTCAGACGGGCTTTAAATTAGAGTGGTATTCCGCTATGTCCTAACAGAGAAATTCACCAGTAATTTCCGCTCTTGAAAACAATCATGGAGATGAGAGCTACAACTCAATAACTTTCTTGCCACAACAAAATACTTATAGGTCTCATGACATTGGTATTGGAAAATCAACCTTATTTTCAGGAGTTCGTAAAGTGTCTTTTCCTAAGTGGACAGACGGAGCTGCAGAGCCGCCACCATGACGCGTCTGAGAGGGAAGACAGAGAGAGCAACTTCGCCACAGTAAATAAATTCAAAGTCAACGTAATGGCCAATTCGGCCTGCGTTGATTTGCTAGTATGGGCTATAGGTGATGAAACTGGTAAGTAGTAGATATATCATGCGTTTAGTTAAATATACTGTCAAATCTATAAAGATTCTATAACAAATACATATTTTTTGTATTACAATATTAATGTAAAAAATATGTATTTGTTATAGAAACTTTATATACACACATCAAAAGTGTCTAGGGATCAAGCATTTTTATGCGGATTTCTTGAGATTGAGATGTGGCTTTGTAATAAATTTATGATTTTATAAATTTATATGGATCCTTTTTGGTGCATTTCATAATTTGAATCAGGAACTGTGAATCAAATTCGAGTAAAAGATGAAAATCAGCTGTCAATATTTTCCCTATAAAAACATACAACGCATTGAAGACATTATTAGTGCAACTGTTTCCCTACTACTGATTAAAACCAACGTTATTATGGAGCGGCGACGTCATTTAAGCAGGGAAGAAATGCTCAGAGCCGTGGGAATGATAGAAGCTGGTTCCCGGCAACGTACTGTGGCTTTAGCTCTGAATACAAGTCAGAGTGTTATCAGTCGACTTTGGACACGATACCGAAGCACTGGTACCGTGGCTGAGCGCCATGGAGGACGGTATCGCTGCACCACACGGAGACAAGACCGATACATTCAAATCTTAACTCGAAGAGCTCCAACAATAACCGCCATGATGTTAGCCGTGAGGCTTCATCACTCTTCAGGGAACTTAATTAGCGACCAAACAGTCAGAAACCGCTTGCATGAAGTGAACCTTCATTCCCGAAGACCGCTACGGGTACCACCTATAGCAATGCACAATCGTAGGGTTCGATATCAATGGGCTCTTGAACACAGAAATTGGGCAGAAGAACAATGGCGTTTCGTGTGCTTTTCTGATGAGTCTCGTTTTGGTATGAGACCGGATACAAGACGTATACGACACTGGAGAACCCCTGGACGCCAACAGCGATTAAAATCCTGCCAGGAAGTCCATCCTTATAGTGGTGGAACCATCATGGTATGGGCGGGTATTTGGATCGGCGGAAGAACTGAGTTGATTTGGATCAGAGGCAACCTCAACGCTCAAATTTATGCTGAGACGATTGTATCAGACGTCATCGTTCCTCTACAAGTGCAAATCGGTCCCTTATTTCAGTTAATGCATGATAATGCACGACCGCACACCGCAAGAGTTGTAAGACAGACTCTCGCCGCAGCTAACATCAATGTCCTGCCCTGGCCTGCTCAGTCGCCAGACTTGAACCCGATTGAGCATGCATGGGATATGCTACAGAGAAGAGCTCTGCCGAATATGGAGGGTATGCAGTCGCAAGAAGACCTTTTTTTGTTGTTGCAACGAACATGGGCGGCCATTCCACAGCGTGATTTGGATGAACTCATTTTGAGTATGCCAAACCGATGTTCTTGTGTTGTTAGTGTTCGCGGTAGAAATACGGATTATTAATTGTTTAAGTTACCCAATAAAATTTTAGAGAAAACTGTTATTTCAGTCTTTTTTTCGAACTTTTGTGTTAGTGGTTCAAATGTCAAAAATCCCTTTATTAGGAAAATGGCAAATTTCTTTATTAATGCAAAGGTGACTTGGTTTATCGTTACTGTGACAAACGAAAACACTTTATTTGATGAATCCTTAAAGAAAATTTTAATTAATATCAATCAGGAGAAAAGTTATTGCAAAAATATATGTTGATCCCTAGACACTTGATGTGTGTATTTACACATATAGGTGCAAATTTATTGGTACCCCTGTATATGTATGAATTTATTCCAATAGAATTGATAGATGTTTTATTAAAATTCTTATCCATACACGATTTAGTCTAATCCTAGATCACAATCGTGATAATGCTTATATATTCCAAAAATTACAATTACGTAGGAAATGTACTGAGTTTAACAGATTGACAGTTTCTTAACGAAGCCTTAATTTAACATGTATCTATTTCCATATCTTTACTATACTTTATCTAGTTTTTATTTTTCGTATTTTCATTTATACTTCTTCTAAATTATATATGTATATTCAAATATTACACATTATCAAAGAACAGATTTTGTATTATTGATATTATTAATTGATTAACTGCAGGCTGTTTTTAAGAAATGAAGAACGATAAAATGTCGAAAGGCAATATTTTTTCTTAAAATTACTTTAATTCAGAGTGTGCAGACATCTTGTACTTATATATTTATTGTTTAAACTCTTAACATACTTTTATTTTATAATAATATTGGTGTCGATTCTGTATTGATTCTCTAAACCTAAAATTAAATTTGACAACGGAGTCTCCTTGTCATTCTCTATACAGCATGAACAGGAGAGGCTGATGTTAAATCTAGTTTTCAGTTTAGAGAATTATGCCAGAACCTACACTGTTATGTAGTAAATAATGTCGGCTTCAATATATTTTTATTATGGTGTTGCAGTTGATGAAGACTATGACGTGCCGGCACTTATAAACGCTCTAACCATATTAATAGGTATCTTTTTAGTTTGCGAGTGACCCCCGTTTGCTGATTCTAATCCAAGCTTTAGTGTTTTCAAATTGAGACGATTTTCCATTGACTGACTTTTATATTTTTCTACAGAGTGAATTTAATAACGGAATGATTTATTTATATATATTTATTTGTATATATGTGTCATTTGTTTTTATTTATTTGTTTGACATAATGATAATCACGAGAATCTCAAGTTTTTCTCAAGCATTGGACAGTCGAGATGGTAGATATGGTGACTTGTCGCTATATCTGTGAATCTAAAATCCGCCCTTTCTTTCACACATTATTCAAGACTGTATGTACGGGTGGGACATAATGACTTGCGTCGCCATTTTCTATGTGTTTTTTGTTCTCATGATGATGATGTTGATTAATAAGGGGGTGTGAATTTAGCTTCGGCATGACAAGTTTATTTGTTTCCGCTCCTTTGAATACCGGCACTTAACTTGGCTATTCGTATTAGAATATTTGTAAACTTAACAATAGTCTTTCTTTTCACTTCCTATAGATAAGGACAACCTGCTGTCATAGTAACAAATAGCAAAATAACGAATAGCCAAGCAAAGTGCTGCCATAAGGTAAGGTGATAAAGCCACTATTTACGTCACATTGTAAATAAATGAGCCTCTGACTGTACCAATGCCGAATATTTCCATACAGTGTTGATATTGATTCATGTTTTACTTATAAAAAGCTGTTTGAATGTTGTTGTTTATTTGTATGTTAAGGTGCTGATTCACTGTGCGGTCGTTTGACGGAAAAAATTAATTCCAACCATAATCACAAGTTGATATTGGCACATATGCCTTTGCTGATGGTCTGCCTTGAAGTGAGTATTCGCCAAAGTATGAAACTCATTAAATTCATCTGCCATCTGCTCTAAAGGTCCTGGGTTCATGTAGGTAGACATTTATGTGTGATGACCTTGTGACCTTGAGGGTAGTCTTGTCCTCACCATCTGCGAGGTACTGGGTTGTCATCGAACCAGAAACTCATTTTTTCTATTTTGTTTCATAATAATATGTTTGACTTGTAGTAATAAAGGGAATAGAAAGCAATATCAAATCCACACAACAAACTTTTCTTTAGATTTAAACATCTAGCAGTTAAATGATTAAAAAATAAATAAAATCATAAATATCAAATCCCTTTTTCTACGTTGATCCGGGTGTTGATTGTATCCATATTTCAAGGATCCATCATATCTTAAAAGCAAACCAGTAAACTTAAAAAGTAGGCATACAAGTAAACAAATTACTTGACTAAGGTAGTCGTCGAATTTACAATGTGTTTTGCAATTTCAGGGGTTAGGCAAACTAGCGACCAAATTCCCAACTATTGCCAACACATCCATCTACTGTTTGAGAGATTTTCTGGTAACACCGTCGCCGATCCTCTTTAAGCTGCATAAATTGGAGTTGGAGAAGACTGGCAAAGAGCACATGAAAGTTACACGTGAGTTATTTCAAAGTCATCAGCTGAAAGTCCATAATGTACTAAAATCTTGTCGGATTGAAATTCTCGTTTGTCAGTGATAATGTAAGAAAGAATGATCTGCATATAATTATTTTCTCAAACAGTTCAGTTCAACAAATAGCTACTCCGAATTTCATTTAAAGTAAACAAACAAAACTGAGTTTTGAAAATCACGCTTAATATGTTTTATTTTAATCTTAGTACAAGGCAAAGAGCTCCAAGGTCTAACTGAGACCGGTGTACCCGTGAAATCTACGCCATTCGAGAAGCTTCGAGACGCTGCCATAGAGAACTTATGCGTCGCATTGGAAGCCGCGCTAACAGTCGATCCATTCTGCGTACCCGCGCTAGTCGGATCCGTCAGTAATAGACTTTTTACTGCTGAAACGAGTGATAGGTGAGTTTTTTTTTATTTATTCAAATTCTGTTATTATACATATTCTGTATCCTTATTACTTCTCATAAGACCGTTATAGAAGAGTTCGATGGCGCAGATGGTTAACGCGTTCGGCTGCGATCGTTGAAGTTAAGCAACTTTCGCAGTGGCCGGTCATTGGATGGGTGACCAAAAACTTAACACGACTAGATTATCGATAGGTGAGTGCATTGGAATTCAGTGCTTAATACATCGCAATAAGAACAATATAACACGTGAGAAATTTCGCACGCAGTTCTTACCTTTTGCTGTTACAGAGTGCCCACGCTAGTAGGATCCGTTAGTAACAGTCTGTTCACTGCTAAAATGAGTGATAGGTGAATGCATCGGAATTTGTTCCTTATGACTTCGCTGTAAGAGCGTAATTAGCTAAGTTTGCAGGAAATGTGAAGATTCAGTAGGCGGTGATTACAGGTTCAGTAGTTGCCACATTTTTTTTTTTCTCTGACTATGAAAATATATACACCGTGAATTTTGAGTTACCTGAGAAACTTTACCAGCTAATTCAGACAACGAGTTAGATCATATCATCATTACATAAAAATAAAGTTCTTTTTTCGAAAAAATATTCCACATTGACCCACTATTTCTGCAATTATGAAACTAACCATTTTAATTGCTATAAATAGATTTAAATAGAACTACCTTTACGATTAGCGTACTTTAAAAGGATAATAATTCCACAATAGGTATATTATTTACAAATTTGTGCCGTTTTACGTTATATTGTAAACGATATAAATCAATATTTTTGTATTGGGTTCTAGTATATTTACTGTTTATAACTGTTCGCACTATGTTTATTTACACGATTTTAAAGTTTCTCGGTAAAATCTAAATGCTAGCATCAGCATAGAAACAGAATTAAAATATAATGTTTCGTTATAAAATCCTTCATATGCATTGTTGCAGCGAATCTTCACTAATCAGTACAAACATAGTCATAATGCTGGGACATGTCGCTGTTGCTTTGAAGGACACGCCAAAGACCACAGACACCATACTACAGTTCTTTCAACAGAGGTAAGGTTTAAATTGAGTTAGCATTACAATCTTCCAATAGGGATGACGACGGGGTAAAGCAAACAAAGTTCTGTTTAGTCTGTCATTTAGATATTCGAATAATAATGGACACTTTTTTTCAGATTCTCCCTTTTTAGGCAAGGCAAAGGGAACAATGCCCATACAGCCTAGTCTTTAGTTTTATAATCCTTTTTTTTAACATTAGAATATCGCTGTGACGCATTGTAATGTTTCTTGGAGTGTTTGACACGAAATGTATCGAGTTGGCTTTTTCGATAAGCTTCTGTGAGGTAGTCAACACTACAATAAAGTTCTCACGTCCTCTTAACCGGAATAGCGTATATTTTAAAGATTCCTCTAATTCGTCAGTTGCGCAGACGGTTGTAACACAAAATCACACCAATTTTATTTCACTATATCCAGGCCATTATTGTGCGAGAGGGATAAAATGTCTCGCGTCTTAAATGTCTTTTCTTTATGAAGTGAAACTTCTTTACGCACGCTTGAATTGGGGAGTAAGCTGGCGAACGCGTTACGAGAACTGTGATCGGGCGAGGCGAACGGGAGTTGAGTGAGAGATATAAGCAAGAGGAAACAGTGCGCGCGCACATTTTCTTTCTCTCTGTCTCTCATAGCTAGTAAATGAAATACGTATATTCACAAACATGTATATAATTTACATACATATTTATATATATGTATACATAAAGATGGAGCTAAAGAAGTTTCACTTCAGTCTTGTGGTCTTAAGCACACTCGTTTTTCTTATCAGGTTATGTCGCGCTCCATCGTCGCTGGATACGTTGATAGTTGACCAACTCGGGTGCATGGCGCTGGCAAGCCCCGAGGGGCCGGCCCACGACGAAATCATGCGCATGTTCACAGTCATTACGGTGGAGGCGGCCAGCGCCGCCTACCACCACACCGACGACAGGAAACAATACAGGTGAGTGATTTGCCTGTTGATCGGCATAATATGCTACTTTTTATTGACGACGTACGCGTGGAGTTAGTTAGAAATAAAGATAGATAGATAGATAGATAAATTCTTTATTGCACACACACAAAAGAATACAAAAATAAGGAAACAATTACATAATGTGGGCAAAGGCGGCCTTATCGCTTTAAGCGATCTCTTCCAGACAACCTTTGCGGTAAAGGATAACTAAATGAAGAGGAAGTTGTAGTATGCCAGCAAGATAAAATAAAGATATGTACATATTTTCTTAAACATATAAAGATTATATACAAATAAATAACATATACCTACACAAATATATATACTATATATACCTACACAAATAAATATATTATGCAATATTATATATTTATAGATATAGCAGACTAGGATTTGATTAAAAGAAAATCATGTAGTATATTTTTAAAAATGTTAAATGATTTAGCGTGACGGATCTCAGACGGAAGCTTGTTCCAAAGCTGTGCAGCTTTAATCGAAAAGGAGTCCATATAATACTCAGAGCGGGTGAGGGGTATCTCTAACACATTATCGTGTTTTGAGCGCAAAACGCGATCGTGGTCCACACCAAGAAATTGGAAACGTTCCTTGAGGTAAGTGGGAGTGCGAGGGTCATACAACACCTTATAAAGTAATAAGAGGAGATGCTCTTCACGACGCAACCTAATGGGAAGCCACTTGAGCTTTCTCCTAAATTCAGAAACATGGTCGAACTTGCGCAGGCCATAGATAAATCGAATGCAAAGATTTTGAAGTCTTTGCAGCTTATCAAGTAGATTTTCTTTGAGATCCACGTTACAAACATCTGCGTAGTCCAGAATCGGCATTAAGAGAGATTGCGCAAGTTCAACCTTGGTCCTCACCGGTAGCAGGTTTTTCCATCGGCGCAACGAGCCCGCAGCAGCGAATATCTTCCTACTGACCTCAGAAACATGAGGTGACCATGAAAGGGTGGAGTCAAAGAAAACTCCAAGATTTTTGACAACATTGCTGTAGGTCAGTGGAATAGAGCTGAGATAAAGAGGAGGCAGAAGTGAAGGAATAAAGGTTCACCGCTCGTTCCCCGTAGGTGATAGCGTGACAATATGGAACCTATATGTTGACCCGACTTCTTAATAATATTAATGCCAAATTTGAAGTAAGAAACAAATATATTATTTAATAATTTTCCGTTTTATCCATAGACATGTCTCCGGTGCGGTACTGAACGCGCTCGCGAACATAGCGGCTAATGTTCGCGGCACCTCCGCACGCTTGGAGTTGCTGACTCGCCTGCTCGAATTATTCGTCCAACTCGGCCTAGGAGGCGAACGGGCCACGGATCGCTCGCCCGCGCCCGTACTGAAGGCGTCTGGCAGCGCCGGCAACTTAGGCGTGCTCATACCGGTCATCGCTGTGAGTATATTCAACCTTGTGTCGTCGCAATAACGATCAGGGTGGCGTTTATATTCGCTTTTAGGGTCTATCTACGATTTAGAAAGTACGCTTGTTTAGTAATAACTAACTAAATAATACCGCTATTTGATTTTGACAACACATGTTGCTATTTTTGAATTTATTCTGTGTGAGAGTTAGTGGGAATGTAAAAAGTGCGCATGACAAGATTAAACTGTATTCAAAATAAATTTAAAGGTTTACTTTATGTTTATCACGTTTTTAATAAGTTAAATTCATTTCAGGTTCTAGTCAAAAGGTTACCACCAATCAAAAATCCAAAGCCCAGGCTTCACAAACTTTTCAAAGATTTCTGGCTGTATTGCGTCGTTATGGGATTTACAGCCGCCGAATCAGGTAAATAAAGTACATTTTGTAATAACTCACAAATTTTCTCTAAATGTATGTCTTTACATAAATATGGTCTGAACATTAAGCAAAAATGAACTTTAACTACCATTTTGCCTTTTTGAATAAATCTAGCACTTCTCTTTGTATCTTGTATATATTGAACTTGTGCTGTTTAAACATAGATATATTTAAACAACTTGTTGTCTCTTCTTCTCTGGCCACGCCTGTAGCCATGCGAAAGCGTGAGTAAAAATGCTTTTAGATGAGTTTGTTTTTAGATGTATGTGGTTTTGATTTATGAAATTATTTTGTGAGTTTATATTTTATGGTGCTCTATCTATAACAGCTCCATAGTTAGTAGTATTGAGCGTACGAGTATATAAGTAGAAGTATCTTTGTGTATCCGCTTGATATTGTAAACTTTAAGGTAGACGTATTTAGGTGCAAATTTGATTGTTTTTGTTTTGAGGTTGGGTAATGTTATTCTGTGTAGGTATATGTTAATATTGATCTCAAGCAAATTCACTTGCATCGAAGATGTCATATGTTTCTGGTGTTTGATATTGTTAAAAAATATCAATTTAGGGATTGAATTTCACTTGTGAGTGTAATATGAATATAAGATAAGCTAGGTTCTTACTTTATCACGTACTTTAAAGTTTATTATCTAAGGAGGAGACTGGAGTTAAATTTAGTTTTAAGTTTAGAGAATCACGCCAGAATCGACACCAATATATCTATTAAAACTACATGTTACTCTAATATGAAACAGAAGATTTAATGTCAGCTGGAACGTTAGAAGTATCTATACAGTTAGATGCAGCACTGTAATGAATGCAGTATTTCCTATTGACCCAAACGATTTATCTGGATTTTTGAAGCCGTGTTTATTTTGTGTGCTAAGAGTTTTATTTTACTGAAGAGTTTGCTTCTAGGATTATGTAGACCGCATTGTTAGAATAGCTTGACCAGGATGCTAAGAAGTTTGATGTTATGATGTCATTGTAATAAAATCTAAATTTCCTTGTATAGAAAAATTTGGTACTAAACGTGTTAATCGTGAACGAAAAACGTTTTGGCCAAATTATAAAGCCTCATTCCTGGCCGGGCTAGTATTGTCTCATTTATTTCTAGGAACTGTATAGATTATGCTTTTTGCGTGAGTTTAAGGTCGGTTTTTATTTTTCTAACTAACTGGTAAATATGGAAATTTTGCAACAAATATACACCTGGATTGAATTGCTAGTTTTTGAAAATATCATCATCTTAACTTTATGCGATGAAACGGACTTCTTCCCGCAAGTTTTGTTTGCATGGAGTGCCGTTTAATTCGTAATGGAATCTAATAAATTAATATCTTTATAAACTGGGTGACTTATCATTCAATTTCTTATATATCATTGAAACAACCTAGTACCGTTAAAAGCTGTTCTGTCATTGGCCGGATAGTATTATTGTCATTACTCCGCCCAATGGCAGCCTGCTTTTCGTGCTTGTCTTACTCTTTTTTTTAACTGAGTAAAGTACATATGGGTGCTAATTTCTGCAAATGTAGCCAGGACCAACAGCTTTTAAAACATGAATTGAGGGAGGAGGTAATTTTTTTTTTTCATTCGTCTCGCCTTTGCGAACATTGCTGAATGAACACTCATGCTCAACGCCAAGGAGCTCCTTTCGTACTTACAATCTTTATTTTTATTGATAATCAAGTATCTAAAGTAGTAACGATCTATATTGTATATTGAATCATACTAAATCAGTCATCTACCTGCCTTTTTTATAAAATATGATGAAAATAAAAACTGTCACTTACATGCCAAAATACTACAGGACTCTGGCCCCAAGAGTGGTACGCGGGCGTAAAAGAAATAGCTGTGAAGTCGCCGTTCCTAGTCTCGCAAACTTCATTGCGCTCAGAAATGCGCGAACTTCAGTACACATCAGCTGTAAGGAACGATTCTGTCTCCATCAACGAACTACAAGAGTTGAAAACGCAGATACTGAATCTATTGGAGCATCCCGCTGATGTGACTGTTATCGTGAACAAGTTGACGTTTGCGCCGTGCATGTACTTACTGAGCGTTTACTGGCTGGAGACTTTGAGGTGAGTATGGGCCATTTGAACGCCCATGATTTACGACCAATTTTCAGTTTCTAGTTAAAGGTAAGGATAATCCGTTTCTTAGCAAAATTTGTTTATTTAATCCAAAATGCTCTAATCCATGTCTTACTGGAGTTTGATTATTGAAACGGGCCGCTGGTGTATTGATATATTGGACTGTCGCTTGTTTTATTTCGGTTTTATAAAGCGCCAAACATTTTATAGTCTCACTGGTATTTCCGCGCGTCCGAATCATTCGCATTTATGATTCGATTCGGACAAATATTTCTGTAAATGAGTATTGTCAAAGTAGTTATATTATTACTCACTTATAGATGAATATAGGGTTTTCTATTGAAGATTATTTCACTTATAACCTTTTTTAGGGTATCTAATTCGCCGGAACCGAGTCTGCAACCGATCATAGAGTACTTAAGCGATACAGCCCTACAGAAAGATAAAAGTGGCATGTGGCAATGCGTGGCAAGGTAAGTTTCGTTTAGACAGCCACACTTGCAAGTTACCATAAACTGGCATATTTTATCGAGAGGTTGTGAATTTTATAAGAAGTAGAATAAGGCTCAAAGTCAGTTTAGAAAATTTGACAGTTTTGCATAACTGTATCTGTGGCTTTCTGTTTATTTGCAGCTCTAGATAGATAAAATAGAGGCGCTCGTCTTATTGGTTGATTGACAAATGCGATTGTGTTCGAATTGGTTACATCAACATTTTTTTCTTCACAGCGTCGGCGACAAAGTGTTCCTCAAGTTTCTAGACGTTATGTCCCAAAAAGTCAAGGACGAGTCCAGAGAACGCGAGTTAGAGAGCCACGCCCAATTCCTTCTAGTGAATTTCAACCATATTCACAAGCAAATACGGCGGGTAGCCGATAAATGGCTGGCGGGCTTAGTGGATCGATTTCCTCATTTGTTATGGAACTGTAGAGTAAGTTGTTATTTAATTTTGATGAAATTTTTATTATTATGTGTATGCCTACAGCGATTTATTATAAATCCTTCTAAAATTTTGCAAATAAACAGACATGCAGGAAAGTGTTTTTGAAGCTCAGTATTATTACGGTAAGGCTTGTGTTATGGCATACTAGGGTAACAGATAGAATAAATATAAAAAATAATATATAGAATCATCCAAGACTAAGGTACAAATGCTCATATTCGTCATTCTAACGTTTGCCCCCACCGGGATTCGAACCCGGGACCTCTCGAGTAAGTGACACCATGAAACCGTATATATGCCACTCGGCCACGGAGGTCATCAAATATCCGATATCAGCGCAAACTTTCCAAATATCTATGCAATACTATCAAAAACCCTGTAATGTTAACGTAGCTCTTCAGTATATTAACTTAAACGGTCCGGTTGTGACCGTAAACGAAATAGTGCTTATGCCGTATTTAAGGACTACACGTTCTGGACACATTTTTGGCGCTGGTGATTCATCGGGGATTTTTATTATCGTTCTATCCATGTAATAAACTAATATAAGAAACTTTTTTTAATTGCAATTACTTAAATTTTAATCGAAAAACTGTTTTTAGTAACTAAAAAGAAACAAAAGTTTTTCGTCCCATGTACATTGCTCTGAGTTCTAGTTATGCCTCAGGTACTATGGTCAATGTTGGACATTCTTCAAGTGCTAAGCTTCAGTTTGGAATTAGACGCGAACCAAGAAACTCCCTTACTGAAAGTGCCTGGCACGGACTTCACGTTGCAACTTCAAGACACGTTGGAAGGCAGAGAGGTAAATATGTCATTATTTATCCCTATATGATTGTAGTTGTGTAACTACTAGCGGCCGCCCGAGTTAGTTAGAAATAAAGGTTCACTGCTCGTTCCCCGTAGGTGATAGCGTGATAATATGTAGCCTATATGTTGACCCGACTTCTTAATAATATTCGTGCCAAATATGAAGTAAATCCATGCAGTGTGTCTAACAGACAAAAATACTAAAAACTGTATTTTTGGCTTCGGTATCGCTTGTAGATCTCACCCCAAGTATTTTAAAAAAAGAAAATTCCATGTGCACTTTTGAGTTTCCTACCATTTTATTATATCTATAGATTATTGTAGTAAAGTATGGCGATTGCTGAAATATGGTATATTTTCCTGTATCTTAGTGTGCATTCCTACATCTTTCTTATGACTACATGATAAGGGTGCTATTAAAATGTAAAACTTTATCTAACAAGATAGAACGCAAATGCAGCAGTTTCAAATGTTTCTTAAATTATCCCTATTCTTTGCTATCATCAAAATCCTATAAATTTCCCCATTGCTGGGGCACAGGCCTGTCTTTTCTGTCTTTTAATACATTTTGTTCTGTCCACAGAGCATAGTGAAAGATTTCGCTGACCGTTGTCATGGGATAGTGCAAGAAGCTATGAAATGGGCACCGCAGTCCACAAGATCGCACTTACAAGAGTATCTCAATCAGGTTTGTTATCAACTTAATATTGCGATTTGTAAATTTCATCCGTTCAGACTATTACATTTATGGAATGCGGTATTGTTATTATTTTTAAAGCTAAGTCAGCAAATGACTCTACCCTTCCTGATGTTAGGTGGTGGTAAAGTCCAGACGCGAAGATAGCTAGTGCAGCAGTCATAAACTGCCACACCAATCATCCTCACCTTTCCGGCCTGCAGAAATGCTTCTTCATGCCTCTTTTAAAGGATCCCAAATTGTAGGAAGGATGGTACACCTGCGCGGGCAAAGAATTCCACTTGCGAATAGTATGACAAAGAAATGAGAAATGAATATTTCTTTGTTCGTGTAGGAATGGTGGTCATGGTTATTGCTTTTGGACGCTATTATAGTAACGAATAAGTAAACTGTCAATTTAAAAAGCGATATGAATAGATACTATTTTAGTGCGAACAAAAAGGTCCGCTGCGTTTCTATCTTAATAAAATAGTTTTTTTTATCGCATATTTTAATCGCTTATCCAATGCTATTTCGATGTGCTGGTGTAAACTGTAGTAATTTTTTTTTAACTTCGTTATTGTTTTATTTTTCTAAATTATAAAATAATTGTGAATGAATGAATGCATATATTTTTAGTACACTGAGGCAGTTTTTCAGAATTACAAAAAACATAAATGAAAACAAAACGCGCCCTCATCCTTAGGCAATAAGTCTGCATTTTTTTTGTTTTTTATTTTTTTTGTGTAGCATTATTTGACTCTTGAATTATCTCACTCAGCCCTCTTGACTTTATTACGCTGGTTCCAAACTCGACCTTATGGCATCATTATGGCTTAGCACTGGCCACTGGCGATTTGTATTCCTGATGTGTTTTGATTTGTGTATTTGTTGTTAGGCGCCGCTGGCTTGAACATGTTGTCTTTTGATATGTAACTTAAAAATTTTCAACATCATTATAATGTTTTTACTAAATTATTTGACTCTTGCATTTTCCATTTAGGTGCCAAACTCGACCTTATGGCATCATTGCGGCTTAGCATTAGCCACTGGAGCTTTATTAGGCGCCGCTGGCTTGAACAGAATGTCGGCTCCTTTACCACAGTCGGCACTGAACAAGAGGCCCTCCTGTGTGACGCAAGATTCAGCGGCTTTATTGGCCGTAGTGTCTCAGCGAAGCAGATATGCTGGCGAGGTAATGACATTAGAAATTGTAGCTTCGTTATCTGTTATTACGACTACGAAGATATGCAGATATTGATTTTTTTTCGTCTTCGTCTTTCGATATTCGTCATAGTCATTTCAAATATTTTAATAATTGAATAAAACTTACTGAAACTTCGCAAGCTGAAATTGTATATAATGGATAAAATTAAGAGTTGTGTTAAATTGATATTCAATTCACTAGCAGACATTCCTTCTTATTTGCTTAAAAATGTAATTCATAGCCGTTTTATTTATTAAATTATAAAACCAGCCAATAAGTGATTTATCATAAGATGACAACTAAAGCATCCGAAATTTATAGCCATTGTGTAATCAGGCTTTTGATACAGATCTTTATCTTTTCCACTACAAAGGCTTATAATGAAACTCCCTACATAGGTAGCGGGGGCAGTTTACGCCGAAGGTGGCGGCGAAGCGGCTTTATGGCGCGTAGGTAGCCGCCTACAGACGTCATTACGGGAAGCCTGCGCTGCAGGAAGTGAGACTTCGCACAGAGCCTCGTTGTGGAGGGCTACGGCCCTATTGGTCCATGCGCGGCAACATCCGGCGCATGCGCATGCCGCGCCCACTGCTCGCGCCTTACTTCACTCCGTCGGTAAGGTTTCTATCTATTATGCTCTAGTCTAGTGGTATACTCCCAATCTTGAACTATAGACATCGCACCGAGCCGTTGGTACAGTAGTATTTTGGCGAGCACTTTATGGACGCTTACAAAAATGGCTGTAGCTAAATATGATTAGGTGATGTTAATAATGCAAAATACTTGGTTGTATTTAAATATATTGTTCATTTTGTTTTTTTGACTTCATGGCGAACGTCACACCAAAAAAAAACTGTCTTTGAATGTAATGAAGTTCATACGATATTAATTACATTCAACCAAGTTTAATAGATGATTGATCAAATTTCACCCACATATAATTTAATTTAAAGCGTATAACTGAATATACATATAATCTGATAAAACAATAAGCTGGAATTTAACATTCTTATTTTCTTTAGCACTTTCAATTCACAGAGAATTCATTCAAACCTTTGTTTCAGCGTGGTCTCAAGTGGAGTTATTCACAGAAGACGCAGTGAGCACTGCAGTAGAATGTTGGCAGTGGCTCATTACTTCCAGGCCTGATTTGGAGTTGCGATTGTTGCAAGAAATATTCGCAGCGTGGCTGTGCACTGTAGATAGAAAAATGGGACTGTTTTCTAAACAAATAGAGGAGATCAGCCCATTGGCTGCTTATGAAGGTACTTTTCTCGAAATATTCAAAAAAATGGTTCGTCTTGGGCTGGTATGTCAATTAATATTTTCTAAACAAGTACCGCTTATGATGGTATAATTTAATTATTTTTAATGCCTTGTACATAATCGTTCATATTATTGCAATATTGAAATGTTATATAAAGGTGCTGTCAACGTTTTTGATAGTTTGTATTTTTGCTTTGTTTGTTTCAATAGAGGATACGAAGGTATATCTGGAATATGTCTATTTAGGATTACGAAAGGTGATATCTAGCTGTATAATAGTAATAGACGCCGAATGGTTTATTTGAAAAGTATCTTTATTTGTATGTCCTTAGGTGCCAAATTGGAACCTCGCCCGCCGTTCGTAGCGCCGCACGCGGTGTGGGTTCGATTCCTGTGCGAGGTGGCCGAAACTGCGAAGTACAACAGCCTCGAGAAAGTTGAGATGCTGGCCAGTCTACTGCACAGGTACGGACAAATCTATACTGTATTCAATTTCATCTGAGACAAAAGGTACTTAACCAAATCTCTCGCTCAACAGTTGTAATGATACTTGTAAAAATAATTGAAGGTAGGTAACTAACTAACCACCTTAATATTATGTTAATATGATATTGAATCGTATTTTTACTTAGCACACTGGACAAATCCTTGCGATTTATGGCGTGCTTTATAGCTCTGTAATTGTTATTTTTGATATGAAATAAATAAATAAAAAACAATGTTTCAACAACTTTTTTTATAGCACAGTGTGACCTAAACCCGCACCTTACGCACGCTTTTCCGTGACCTAAGTTGCCTATTTCTGCACGGTGTGTAAATGAATTGACCAACTTCACTCATGTAGAATTAGTACATTACGATACGCGTAACTTAACTTTACTATGCCAATCAAGGAATAAACGTTCATGGATACATTGAAATTCTATTTTGTTGTAATGATATTTGATTTTTTCCTTTTGAAATATACTTTCAAAATGGTAATCTGAACCGGAATTCTTTCTTTTCAGAGTTTGACTTGCAGTCTGTATTGCAATTCTTTGTGATTGCAATACATGAATTTTACTTTCAAAACACTAATCGCATCCTCGCTCCGCTCGGGCGCTAACTTCACGCCTTGCAGTAATAGGCAACTTAGGTCACGCGTATCGTAATGTACTATTATCGAGAGGTAAAAATGACTGGTGTAACCAGACTCATTAAAAAATTTCATATTACAATGTGAATTATTTTCTTTATAACTACTTTTCAATTTAGTAGTATTATAATGCATTTAAAGTTTGGTAATAGCTACAGTTTTAGGGTTTTTTTAAGGTCAGTTTTGCTTATGAAATTCGACCTATTGAAAAACCTCTTTGTGGTTTGTTTAGCTTTTGTCTCAGAGGAAGTTGAATAGAGTATATTAGGGTAACTGTGGGATATTTAGCACTTCTATCAAGTTTGTAGTCTATGAAAATGTAGTAGAAATTGACTGATATTTAGAAGTCTCGCCTCGCTAATAAAGATACGAATGTAATATGGCGAGACAAGATATCCTGTCCAGATATCGCGTCGCCATTAAAGATTGTTTTTTTTATTGAATCGAGTTACATTTTTTTTCAGTCTATACATGATTAACTCGGACTATTTCGTAAAACTTTTCTGGTTTAAGTATAGTGGGGATAGAAACCATATTTAAAACAATTTTGTTTACAGATCTCTTCCTGTAACAGTTGGTGATACGAGAGATCACATAAATAGGCACGTTGAGGCAGTTGGAGTGCGATTTCGGTAAGTTGTTTCACTTATGTGACTTATTCAGGGTTCTTTTACGCCTAGTTTTAGTTTTTAAAGTATTTTTATTTGTTTAATTGTAAGTGATCCTGTGATCGAACAATCATTTCTTGACACTCTTGACGTTATTAATTACTCTACCCTTGTTCGTCAGCATTTTCCTCAAAAGCTTTAAGCCCTCAATTTCAGCCAAAATTTTTCTTTAGATTACTCAGTCGTTTGTCTAGTCAGTTAAATGTTGAAAGCATTTAAATAAGGTAAAATTTCTCTTTACAAGCCATGTCAATTAAAATGGAAAATATAAATATATATAGGTTCAGAATTGGTGTACTGTAGTTGATGGTGATAGTGGGATCGATCTTGCAACGAATTCATTTAAAACTAGGCACTATTGTCCTTTGGGTTTAAACTGTTCCAAACGTTCCGGCAGGCTTTTTATAAAAATTATGATGAAGATGAAATTATTTTGTATTGACACCGTAACAATATAATATTTTGTTAATGTTGTTACATAATAGGGAAGATGCATATATAATATTTATGAAAATTTTATGATTAAAATGTTAAAAGAATATAAAAGAATTGCCACTGCAACGTTTTTATTTTACATAATGTTGTTTTTTAACAATTATTACGAATTGAAAATACTTGAAACAGAACGTATTTTAAAACACCAATCAGCGTTTAGTGACGTCACTCCTGTTATGACAACTTCTTTGAGGTTATGGTTGTTAAAGTAAATATTATTTTATGGGAATATTAATTGCGTTTTTTTTACATTTAATAAAAATGGAAGTTGCGTTTATCAAAGTAGACTCCAGGAATTTACCAAGAGTTAGTGTTGACAGGGTTATAACTTTTTTTTGTCCGAAGTGCAGAGTTTTTAAGTGTAGAAATGAAAGGGACTAAATTACTACGGTATGTAAAAATCGTAGTTGTTAAACTTCGTATTTTATTCAGCGGCTTCTACAAATCTTACGGCGATAATGCAATCGGCTATGTTCAAATAAAAAGAGATGGAGAATTATGTACAGTAAAAGGTCGAGTTCTCCAGAGCATAAAGTACGTAAAGAAGGTTATCGTGTTACAGTTATTTTAAATGAAACGCAAAGCTTAGTTCAGTCCTGCCAATGTGAAGATTGTGCCACACATTTTAAACTTTATCTAATTTTCGACGTCATTCTCCAACTGTAAAATTAAAAATATGTTATAGACAGGTTTTGTAAGTATTAGGTAGGTTACTAATGCGTTTTTACGTACATGCAGATTAATTAAGCATATAACAAGTATATTCGCCGACTTACGTCAAAGTGATCTTCACAGCATCGAATAATGGTCTTTGGAGAATAATTGTCATTTCTCTTCGCAGCTTGAAACCACTTTTTTCAGTTTTGGGTCAGAAGTTCCAGTCAAAAACAATTTATTTGGAAACTTTGTTGAAGTACATTGGCATAAAACATGAGTCAACACGGCTTTTTTTCGGAATATTAGTGGTATTGTTATGATCACATGATGTTGATGGATAGTCCATTTTAAATTTTTCGAAAAAATATTTCGAAAGTCGAAAAAATATGCAAATGTATGAAAATTTAAAGCCAGCGACGAACAAGTACGACCAGTGACAGACAGGAGTGACGTCATCGCAACCATAGGTTCGTTTTCGCGCGAAAATTTAAATTGTCAATTTAAAACCGCATTTTTTCCGATATTCCACAATGTTTTAATTTTTTATTATATCTGTGGTTTATTCTGCATGGAATTCTTTAAAATGAAAACAAAAATAAAAATATTGCATCTTATCTTACGCTGTCAAGTTATTTTCGTCAGTTTTTCTCCACAGCTAAAAACGTCCTTAACTGGTACTATGGGGAAAAATATGGACGATTCAAAAGAGTTGTATTTTGCATCCAATTTGAATAAAGATATTTTGACTTTTGGCTTTCATTACAGATTACTATCGTGCGGCTTGTCACTTCTTCAAGGCGACATCCTTCCGCGTTCCATAGCTCGCAATATCTTACGAGAGAGAGTGTACAGCGCCTGCCTCGACTACTTTTGTAGAGGACTGCAGTGTCCGGCGAAGAACTGTAACGCGTTGAGGGAAGATATAATATCGCTCATCAAGTTCTGGCAACTCATGCATTCCGATAAGAAGTATTTGAAGAGCAGTGATATGGGGGGTGAGTTTATCGCGATATCTTAATAGTTTTTTAACGACGACCTCCGTGGTCGAGAGGTTTGTACGCCGGGTTTCATGGTGTCGTCGACTCGGAGAGGTCCCGGGTTTGATTCCCGGTGGGGGCAGATTTTTGTGTGATGAATACGACCATTTGTACTCCAGTTGTGGATGTTTCATATGTATTATTCAGACGACGTAGACCTGAAAAGGCTGCATGGCGTCAATAAATAAATTCAGTACATCTAACCCGTAAAAACTATTTTTATTTAATAAGTGATGTGCATGAAAACCTAAGAAACAAATATGTATTTCTATACAAATATACTTTTATATGTATCAGTATTATGTATTCTATCCGTTACCCTAGTATCCCATAACACAAGCCTACAGTGCTTACTTTGGGGCTAGGCTAATTGGTTGTGAGTGTTGCGAATATTTTTTTTTATGTTAAAAGGATAACAACTAGGTATATGACCCGCCTGATGGTAAGCGGCCACCATAGCCATTAGACGCTTGCGATACAAAAAATATCACTCGCTCCGTTGCTTACCCTGACCCAATCCCCTACACCTTAGAGTCCTGGAACCTTACTCACCGACAGAAACACATCACCACCCAAAGGTGTTTTTTTTTTCTGTGGTCTTTTGTTGGTGGAGGGTGGAGGTTACTTACTTACTCCAATTCGAGCGTGAAATCTGTTATGCCCTACCCCTAAAACTTAATAATTGGATTCGAAAAATCTTTTCCTGAACCGTATTCTCGTGATCTTTATACTGTTTATGGAATATATTTAGTCAATCTACAGTTTTGTATCGCGGCTTGTAACTATAGAGGTATAATAATAGTGTCTGTCTAGTAGAAAGAGAAAGAACACGAGAGACCGCTAGCTATCTCTCTCTTGTGACGCATGGCACTCAATGGCATCACATCGAAATAGTAAGATTCTTACGGTTGCCAATGCGCATGCGCGATTAGAGAGAGAAAGCTAGTGGTCCCTCATCTTCTTTCTCTTTCTATTAGAGGGACACTTCCACTTGTAGTAGAGTCTATATCTCCCCTATTGTATTCATATACCTCTATGCTTATACTGCTACCATATAACAAAAAAACAAGGAGACTTGTCCATATATTCCGTTTTACTTTACTATCCTGTGCATATATTTCGCTACATAAAAAATCTGACACGCTTTTAATAAAAACCTTTCCTGTTTTTTTTTCATATAATGTCATGTTTTTTGCCAATCTCTCATTAATAAACAAACACTGAGATACTTTTAAACTCACAGAGAAAGTAAGCTTATTGTCGTTTGGTCTGTTGTTTGTGAAATGTGAGATTTATTAATATTAGTCAAAATTTCACACGTTCTTCTATGTATTCAACTTGCCGTTAACTAATAGTCACATTTAACTACGTATCAAACAACGGGACCTTAGTAATAAAGTATAAAATCCCTAGGTGAATACGAACTGATGGGGCCCAGTAGCCAGCAGAGTATATACACTGCCAACTCACCGACCGACAACCGGTCTTCGGTGAACAGTAGCGACATCGGCAGTAGACAGACTACGGGGTGGATTAACACGGTACATATGCTTCGAAACCTTATATTCTTAGCAAAAAAGCCTACAATCCCCAGGTGAGTTCGAACTGATGGGGCCGAGTAGACAGCAGAGTATTAACATATGCTTCCATACCTTATCTCTTTCACAAGAAAGCCTACAATCGCCAGTTGAGTAGCCAGCAGAGTATTAATATGGTACATCATTTTACACATCTTATCTCATTGGTAATAAAGCCTACAATCGCCTGGTGAGTACGAATTGATGGGGATGAGTAGCCAGCAGGTATTAATATGGCACATAACTTTCCACACCTTATCTTATTGGTAATAAAGTCTACAATCGCCTGTTGAAAACGAATTGATGGGGTCCAGTAGCCAGCTGATTATTAATACAGTACAATCCTTCCACACCCTATCTCCATGGCAATGAAGCCTACAATCGCCAGGTGAGTACAAACTAATGGGGTCCAGTAGTTAGCCGTATATTAATACAGTACAATCCTTCCACACCTTATCTCCTTGGCAATAAAGCCTACAATCGCCTGGGGGGTACGAATTGATGGGGTCCCGTAGCCAGCCGAGTATTAACATGGAACATATCCTTCCACACCTTATGTCATTGGTAATGAAGTCTGTAATCACCAGGTGAGTACGAACTGATAGGGATGAGTATCCAGCAGAGTATCTATACGGACAACCGGTATTCTGTGAAAAGAAGCGACATCGGCAGTAGGCAGACTACGGGGTGGATTAATACGGTAATGAAATTAAATGAAATTATCAATAAACTTTATTCAAGTTGTCTTATTAAAAGCTCTTTTGAATCGTCCTTATAATTTTTATTCCTACCACCTGTACAGGTGAGCTTCAAGCTGACAAGAACAGGCGAAAAAAACTTCTCAGTTTTTTACGAAGTAATGACATTTACATAAAAATATGTCGTATGTATTACACAAATCAAGAATATATAATATTGCATTGGCATTGTTTAATGAGCAAAGGATGGGAATAAATGGGTTATTCCCAGACGTTTCGGTCTTTGTAATCTATCATCAGCCTATTTATCTCCCTACTGCTGGGGCACTATTCCTATGATAATGGTCCAAGATACACCACGCGGGCCCAGTGCGGATTGGTGGGTACTAACGACTGCAGATGCAGCCGGGACCAACAGTGTCTTTCGAAGCACGGAGGAGCTCGAGATAGTCAATTTTTGGCCACCTTTCCAATGACCGACCACTGCGACAGTTGCTTAACCTTAACGATCGCAGCCGAACGTGCTAACCACTTGCGCCATCGAGCTCCTCTTAGTATTTTGTATTCCCTAGTATTTTAATTTAATAACGAAAATAAAAAAGTTTGTTGTATATTTATCCAAAGGTCCCTATGTCTACAACTACACTGAGTAGCGGGGCGGGCAGTATAGCAGGCAAGCGTTCCAACCGCAGCGTCAAACCGCCCGCCAAACCACAAGACACATTCGTCAAGGATTACGTTCGGAAACGTAATCTTATCCTGGAGCTTATGGTAATTATAATAAATATTGAGTTAGAATTGGACAACTTTATCAATCATACTTTTAAAATAAATAAAGTTTTAAGTAATTATAAGGAGTTATCTTGTAGGCATGAGTTCTAACTCATACAAACACAACAGTTCAAAAGCATTGATAAATGCGTATCCTTGCTATATTTATCCTATCTTCTATTCTACCATATAAACCTTCTGATCTATTCTCTAGGCTGTGGAAATAGAGTTCCTAGTCACTTGGCACAACCCTCACGGGCGGACAGAACAAGCGGTTCCGGGTGAAGACAATATAGCTACTTGGAGATCTAAACCCAATACTGACAGAACGTGGAGGGATTATGCCAAACTAGCTTGGGATATCAGTCCAACGCTGGCAATATTCTTACCGGAAAGGTAAGCTTTATGTTTTGGAAATCGATATAATTTTTTATTGAATAATCTTGAAGCTAATTAATTTTAGGTCAAGATTTACTCGCATATCTTTTTCTCTCCCTTTTTCCTCATTTCTGTTTTCTTCCTTTATTCTTTTCTTCCTCTCGCTCCCTTAAGTAGAGTTTTCATAGTTTTAACAAAGCATTAGTCAGACTTAATAGGGTATTTGACAAGTTTTAGAAAACGATCTCAAGTTATTGACTTATGATTATGGAGTCCGTAAAAAGTGGATATTCATCATTCTATTGTGTATATCAGTAAAAATAACCAAATCAAAAACTCAATTTTCAAGTTACCGCGAAAACTTTTTCTGGACAATATGGCGTCTTCCTGGTGTGTGACGTCACACGACTGTTATTAAAACGTCAACCGATACAATGTAATGCCACTTTAACCAGAAGTTTACTTGCGTGTGACGTCATTTTAGGCTCCGCCAATCCCAAGCGTTTTGGGTCACGTGACAATAGATAAGAAAACATCTTTGTCGTGGGTTTTTAGTAAAATTATGAATATTTTTTTGTAAAAATAGTAAAAACCCCTGCCAATATTCATTCTAAACACAGATACTAACAATTGGCACTTTATTTTTAATACTGTCAAATACCCTATTGAAATGATCTTTTGCAAAAATAAGAATTAGTTTGGTAGAACAATAGTGCTCTTTATTTTGTCTACCGGTCACCAAAATTATTTGAAATTATCCTCAAAAAAGACTTAATAAATTATGCTTACTTTTTATACAATCAAACCGTGCACAAATAAAGAAGAAAAAAATGTGTGCGTGTACTAGTGTACACACGTAAGAAGTGAAACTTCTTTATGGCCTTATTTTTCGAAAAATGATCTACATGCAACTTTCCAGAAATTGGTTAAATAAAGTTAAATTAGATAAAGTTTAAACAAAAGGATTTTATTATCATAGACATGAATACAAATTACTGCCTATGAAACTGTTATGATTACACGGCTCAGTAATCTAAGGCACATGTTCCACCTCCGACGATGAACGATAAGCGAGTAGAAACTAGAAACGAATTGGCAGTCCTGAGTTAAAATGCACGCGCACGGCTTTTGACAGCCAAGCCAACTTAACCGAGCGAGTATAGCTGAGCTAGTATCGCTGGGCGAGTATCGCTGAGCGAGTATTGCTGAGCGAGTATCGCTGAGCGAGTACAGCTGAGCTAGTATCGCTATGCGAGTTTGGCTGAGCGAGTCTTATCTTTAATATCTATTGTCACTCAGCTACAAACGAGTAGAGGGAGTTCTCGCCGGCGACAGTGTGATCATTCAGCTATCAACTATTAATATAAAAAAAGATGGCGCGTAACGGAAAAAGGTGACGCGTAACCGAAAAATGTGACGGTAAATTTTTTCCAACGCCGATAAAGAAGTTTCACTTCAAAAATAGAAGTACTTTTAAATAAAACTTTAAGATACTTATTTAAATTCCATTGGACCCTAAACGGCCCTTTTTTGCAAAAGGGCGTTATCCCCAACTTTGAGAAAAACTACTGCAAAGAAATAGACAAATATAACATTACCTACCGTAAAATTGTAAATGACGTTTCATCTAGGCTAAAGAACGAGGGAATAATTGCGGAAATGCGACGGAAAGTACAGGCGCAGCCGACTGCGGTTTGCCACGTGCCGCAAGCGCTCAAGTATCTCGTCACTACGGAAACGTTGCTTGCTGATGCTCATGAGGTAATTGCACTTTACATCGGACATAATTATATCTATTTATTTATTTATTTTTTGAAAGACCAACAGCTATTATTAAAAGAATAAAAACTTAAATAATAACAAAAAACCAATTACAAGTCTTCACCAATAAAAACACATTACAACATATAATGCGATTCAACTAAGAAGGTCGGTCCTACCGACTGGGCGCAATCTTGTGACGTCATAACTGTTAATTCAAACCAAATAGGTAGAGTGAGCAAAAAAAGTTTTGATTTAATAAAACTTATTTACTAAGATTTAGTGAGAAAAATCATCAGATTTTTTTTATAAAATTTATTTACTAAGTTTGAGAAAAAAAAACTATTTGTAATAATATCTATTTATTAAGACTGTGTGAGAAAAAACATTAATCAGAATATAGCTCTCAATTCCGCTCAGCTCTGCATTACTGCCAGAGTAGTTATGAATAATCATGCACTATTACTAAGTCACACATGAACATGCATCCTTTATGTAAACGAAAGTTTTAAATCAGTGCATTTATGAACGCAACTTAAAGTAACATTTGGTTGACGATTTAGCTTATCAACCATTCATAAACAAAGCCCAATAAATGAAAAAAAAAGTATCAACCAATATTAATCATCAATATTTGTTATTGTGTATATTTGTAATGTTTGGTTTTTTATTCTAGAACTAGCTGAGTGCTAGAAATGGGTTCCAAGTTTTTTTTGCAAACCGTAATTTTCAAGCGACATTTGACAGATGGCTTTCCTATTATTATTTGAATCGCACTATAATTAGGCACACTTTTAACATAATAATTACAAAAAAGAGCATTGTTCACTTGCCTATTCGTCGAAAAATGCACTGCTCAATACCCGACTCAGTGATGGAAAGCTAGTATATGAATTTAGTGAACTTTCCTCTTGATTCAATATATCTATTGGTGGAAACTGCATTAAAACTCTTTGCGTAGTTCCGTGAGGTCAGTCGTTATCACCAATAACGATTGCAGATGCAGCACGTGCCTTCCGAACCATGGAGGAGCTTGTGATGATTTTTGATTCGCCCGTTTGCAGCGAAAGTTGTTTAACTTACACACGAGTAGACCGAATACGCTAATCATCCGAGCTCTTCAACCACCTGTTCCAATGTAGTGTACAAGTTGTATAAGATACATATTACGTATATTTTGCGTATTCTAACGAGTAATTTAGTATTGAGTAGCTTTTACACCAAATTTTTTTTCTGACAATAGTTGAGAGGAAAACAAATTTGATTTAATTTGATTTTTGTTTGTATTTCAGACGTTTTGTTTGTATAAGACTGTTTGTTACCTGAATGAATAAATGTAATAACACGTGATTTAATGGAGCATTACATCAATAGGCTATTTGACAGTATTAAAAATAAAGTGCCGATTGTTAGCATCTGTGTTTAGATTGAATATCGGCAGGGATATATACTATTTAATAGAGGTAATGTTGGCAAAAATGACATTATGACTTACTATAACTCTTTGTGTTCTCTAAATGTAAATAGAATAGTTATGTATACATTTCCTTATAGTAAGAGTCTATCAAGTGAAGAAAATAATATTAGGTACAGGCTAAATTTGACATTAAGTACCATGTCTCAGTATAGTGGTCAAAAAGTACATTTAATTGATATAAATAAATTAATATATAATTTTAAAATGACAAGAGATAAATATTATCTTTCATATTACCATAAGAGACAAATAGCTTCTTCGCTATTATTTTATTTTACACACATAGCCAAAAACTTGGCTAACACTACTGCTTCTATTGAGCAGCATAATTATGTGGATCAGACTTTGGAATTTGTTCCAAATACTGACATTAATTGTAATTTAAATTAGTTCGTAAGACAACAGAGGAGCTCTCTAGCTATATCATGACCAAGGAAAAGTCTAAATTTCTAAATATTGTTCACCAAAATATACAAGGCTTTTCTGGTAAAGACTTAGAACTATGCTTATTTTTAAATACAATGAATATAAACATTTTATGTATTACAGAGCACTGGCTCAGAGATTATGAATTAGTTACAGGCTTAGATAATTATACAGTTGTTAGTAGTTTTTGTAGGAAATCGGCTATCAGGGGAGGCTCTCTCATAATCTTACAGAACAATCTTAAATACAAAGAACGTACAGATATTGTTACACTTTCAGTTGAACGTAATATAGAAATATCTTGTGTGGAACTTGAAGAAATGATCATAATATGTGTATATCGGCCCCCATCTGGGAATTACACTCAATTTGAGTCTGCTATGGAAGATGCTTTCAATATAGTATGTAGATGTAATAAAGTGGTTGTTGTGTGTGGTGATTTTAATATAAACATTTTAGTTAAGTGTCCATTAGTGAGTAGGTTTCTAAACTTATTTAAATCATATAACTTGGAGCATACCTTCTTTGAGCCTACCCGCATCACACATGCATCAGCGACCTGTTTAGATAATATTTTTTGTAATAGAAATGTTTTTAATAAATCAATAATAAATTGTATTAATTCTGATCATAGCGGACAATTAGCCTCTATTGAACACCATCATGCTTCATCCAAACATGACCTAACTTGTAGACCAATTACACAAACGGGTATAAATAAATTTCAAGATAGCGTTTATCACAAAATATCGTACTTACCAGTTTATAGTAATAATAATATTTCGTATGAAGATTTATTCAATTTAATTAAAGATGAATTTAATATAATATTCAAACGCAAAGTTATTAAATGCCATAGCTTTAAAAAGAAATTTAGTGATTGGGCCACACCGGGTATTTACAAAAGTAGAAATAAGTTGTATCAATTATATGCTCTCAAGGCAACCTCATCTGATCCTAAGTTTATAGAATATGTCAAAAACTATTCAAAAACTTTTAAAAAGGTGTGTGCCATAGCAAAAGCTAAGTTTTTATCAAAAAAAAATAGTCTTTCCGATAATAAAATAAAGACAACTTGGAATATAATTAATAATGAAACTGGAAGAAATAAATTTAATGAACACACATATTCTTTAAAAATAGACAATAAGATTATTAGGACAGATGATGCCGTTGCAAACACTTTTGAAAATTTCTTTTCTAGTGCACCATTTGAAACAACTAGAAATCTTAATTCTTGTTCTAGGTTAGCAATGACCCTCCTTGAGTCAAGTGTTGATAAGTGCAGTAATGATTTTCATTTTAGACATATCAGTAGTGACTGTATTATAAAAACTTTTAACTCAATTAAAATTAAAAAGACAGAGGATTATTGGGGAATATCAACATATATAATAAAACCGACTATCACTGTTATTGCGCCACAACTGGCCATTATATTTAACAAATGTATTGATGAGGGAGTGTTTCCAGATCTAATGAAATGTGCTAAAGTTATCCCTCTCTTTAAGGCTGGTGACAAATCAGATCCCAGCAATTTTAGGCCTATATCTGTATTACCAGCGCTAAGTAAAGTATTTGAGAAAATAATTTATAACCAATTACTAGCACACTTTTCTATAAATAAGCTATTTCATTTAAAACAGTTTGGTTTCACTAGAGGCAAAAGTACTACTGATGCTGGAACTGCACTTCTCAAACACATCTTTGATATATGGGAGAGTAAGCACGATGCTATTGGCATTTTTTGCGACTTATCAAAGGCGTTTGACTGCGTTAGCCATGAAACATTGTTAAATAAAATGAAGCATTATGGTGTATCAAATATTTCACTAAGTCTGATACAGTCTTATCTTTCTGCTAGGATTCAGAAAGTAGTTATAAATGAAGCTGAGTCTACAGGAGCACCCATTTCTATGGGCGTGCCCCAGGGTTCAATATTGGGCCCATTGCTTTTCCTTATTTATATCAATGACCTTCCTCACTTTACAAGAGATTTGTGTGAGACAGTACTATTTGCTGATGACACCTCTTTATTGTTTAAAGCTAGAAGAGGAAATGATTGTTATGACGAAGTAAATTGTGCTCTCTCTGAAGTCCTTCACTGGTTTACGGTAAATAATTTAAAACTTAACTCCAGTAAAACAAAATGCGTTAAGTTTACTCTACCTAATGTGAGGCAGGTTAATACTAGTATAAAAATAAATGACCAGCCTGTAGAGTTAGTGGATTTTACAAAGTTTCTGGGTATTACTTTAGACTCTCGTCTGCAATGGGATCCTCATATTGATGCCTTGTCAAGTAGATTGAGCTCTGCAGCTTTCGCTGTTAAAAAGATAAGACTCTTAACTGATGTGGAAACGGCAAGATTAGTTTACTTTGGTTACTTTCACAGTGTTATGTCATATGGCCTTTTGTTGTGGGGCTCAGCCGCTAATATCGAAAGTATTTTCATACTGCAAAAGAGAGCTGTTCGCGCCATATACAATTTAAAGGCTAGAGAATCCCTTAGAGAAAAATTTAAAGAAATTAATATTTTAACACTGGCGTCGCAATACATTTATGAAAATTTAATATATGTAAGAAAAAACTATGATGAATTTGCAAAAAAAGTCAAACCCATAACTTTAACACGAGATTTAAGAACAAGCTTGCCGTTCCATGTTTCAGACTCCAAAAATCAAGAGGTTCATTTCTGGGTTGTAGTATTGCATTGTTTAACAAAGTTCCCCAAGATCTGATTGAGCTTCCACTGACTAAATTTAAATCTCAGATCAAAAATACTCTTATGAATAAGGGCTATTATAAAGTTGATGATTATCTAAATGATCGTAATGCATGGACATAGTGTTTCTTATAATTTGATATTAAATGGGTATTACTCATTTTTCATAACAGTAATATTGTACCTATCTAATGCCGCTTCCTATATACTACTTAAAATGTTAACTATAAAATTAATTGTAACTATTTATATTCTAGATGATGTAATGGAAAGTGACTTCAGACGTATTTCTGAAGTAATTTTTCAAATTGACGACACTGTATATAACAATACAGGGAGAAAAAAACAGCCCTTGCTGAGTTTCTTGCCGGTTCTTCTCAGTACAAGGTCTCCCGCCGTAGTTTTGCGAACCGATGGCGTAGCTTCTTGACCTTCACAAGTGCTTGTAACCAGGGATGTTGCGAACATTCGCATCTGCATCCGCAAATGCGGAACATCCGCATTGATTTGGACATCTGCATCTGCTTCCGCATCCGCATTTATCAATGCGAATGTTCATGCGGATGCGAATATTATACAAGTAGCGACAAGAAAGAAATTGGGCGGGGCCGGTGATTGACGCGTGCCTACAATTTATATACCATCGCTACCTACTTAGATCCTCGCTATAAGCACAAATTTTTCACACCGGTGACTGAAGAAAAGATTAAAGATGACATTTTAAAAATGATAAATACTGAGAATGACAATTTTGAATCTCTTAATACCAATGCCAAAAGGGCTAAAATAATTAAAATAACTGATTGCACGGAAAATGATACGGAACAACTAGGACCAGGGACTTCAGGTTTCAACAAAAAGCCATGCTTACAAAACGACCTGGCGAGTTAAGACGAGAGTCAAGATGAGCCAGAAAATGGTAGCATTGAAGCTGTATTCAAAAAAGAGTTACTTGCTTACCGTACTAAAAAAAGAATAAATGTGAATGAAAATCCTTTAAACTGGTGGAGTGTACATCGAGGGGAATTCAAGGTATTATCGCCGATAGTACGAAGATTTTTATCTGCTCCACCGGGCATTGTTCCTAGCGAACAACTATTTAGTAGCGCGGGATTAATTTACGAACCTCTGCGTAACAGACTTGAATCAGAAAAGGCGGCAATACTACATCAAGTATAATGCTCCTATTTTTAAATACAATTACTGATATAAAAAACAGAAGTGAAGTTTAAAAAATTTGTTACATTATACATTACTTATATTTAACATAAAAATAAGTACTTAATTATGTTTGATTACAATAAAAATGTTAATAATTATTACGTTGTCATTGTTTTAATTCTTCATTAATAGACTTTATTTACATAATATCTTATACATCCGCATCCGCATCTGCATCCGCGGATGTGAGCCTGCTAAACTCCGCATCCGCATCCGCATCCGCGGATGTGAAAATATCGGCATCTGCAACATCCCTGCTTGTAACAGCCTAGACTGAATAAATGACATTTCATTTCATTTCATATCTTTACAAAAAATATTCATAATTTTACTAAAAACCCTCAAAAAAGATAATAGTTTTCTTATCTATTGTCACGTGACCCAAAACGCTAAGGATTGGCGGAGCCTAAAATGACGTCACACGCAAGTAAACTTCCGGTTAAAGAGACATTACATTGTATTGTTTGACGTTTTAATAACAGTCGTGTGACGTCACACACTAGTAAGACGCCATATTGTCTAGAGAAACATTCTGGCGGCCACTTGAAAATGGAGTTTTTGATTTGGTTATTTTTACTGAAATACACAACAGAATGATGACTATCCACTTTTTACGGACTCCATAAACATTAGTCAATAACGTGAGATCTTTACCTAAAACTTGTCAAATACCCTATTTAACCTTTCTTAGTATGTTTGTTAGCAAAGTGCTTTAATAAATGAGTAAGTCTATTCAATTGTTACGTATTGCATAGTTGGTGCACATGGTGACATGGGCTCGCGTGACTCCCGTCGAAGCGCTGTCGTACTTCAGCCGTCAGTACCCGCCGCACCCGCTGTCCGCGCAGACAGCGGTCAGCACACTCACCTCGTACCCGTCGTCCGCCGCGCTGCTATACATACCGCAGCTGGTGCAGGCGCTGCGCCACGACACGGTCAGTGGTGCCCCGCCCCCCGTCCATACTAGTGCCGCCGCTGTCGTACTCCAGCCGGCCGGCAGTACCCGCCGCACCCGCTGTCCGCGCAGACGGCGGTCAGCACACTCGCCTCGTACCCGTCGTCCGCCGCGCTGCTATACATACCGCAGCTGGTGCAGGCGCTGCGCCACGACACGGTCAGTGGTGCCCCGCCCCCCGTCCATACTAGTGCCGCCGCTGTCGTACTCCAGCCGGCCGGCAGTACACGCCGCACCCGCTGTCCGCGCAGATGGCGGTCAGCACACTCACCTCGTACCCGTCGTCCGCCGCGCTGCTATACATACCGCAGCTGGTGCAGGCGCTGCGCCACGACACGGTCAGTGGTGCCCCTCCCCCCGTCCATACTAGTGCCGCCGCTGTCGTACTCCAGCCGGCCGGCAGTACCCGCCGCACCCGCTGTCCGCGCTGACGGCGGTCAGCACACTCGCCTCGTACCCGTCGTCCGCCGCGCTGCTATACATACCGCAGCTGGTGCAAGCGCTGCGCCACGACACGGTCAGTGGTGCCCCGCCCCCCGTCCATACTAGTGCCGCCGCTGTCGTACTCCAGCCGGCCGGCAGTACCCGCCGCACCCGCTGCCCGCGCAGATGGCGGTCAGCACACTCACCTCGTACCCGTCGTCCGCCGCGCTGCTATACATACCGCAGCTGGTGCAGGCGCTGCGCCACGACACGGTCAGTGGTGCCCCGCCCCCCGTCCATACTAGTGCCGCCGCTGTCGTACTCCAGCCGGCCGGCAGTACCCGCCGCACCCGCTGTCCGCGCAGACGGCGGTCAGCACACTCGCCTCGTACCCGTCGTCCGCCGCGCTGCTATACATACCGCAGCTGGTGCAGGCGCTGCGCCACGACACGGTCAGTGGTGCCCCGCCCCCCGTCCATACTAGTGCCGCCGCTGTCGTACTCCAGCCGGCCGGCAGTACCCGCCGCACCCGCTGTCCGCGCAGACGGCGGTCAGCACACTCGCCTCGTACCCGTCGTCCGCCGCGCTGCTATACATACCGCAGCTGGTGCAGGCGCTGCGCCACGACACGGTCAGTGGTGCCCCTCCCCCCGTCAATACTAGTGCCGCCGCTGTCGTACTCCAGCCGGCCCGCAGTACCCGCCGCACCCGCTGTCCGCGCAGACGGCGGTCAGCACACTCACCTCGTACCCGTCGTCCGCCGCGCTGCTATACATACCGCAGCTGGTGCAGGCGCTGCGCCACGACACGGTCAGTGGTGCCCCGCCCCCCGTCCATACTAGTGCCGCCGCTGTCGTACTCCAGCCGGCCGGCAGTACCCGCCGCACCCGCTGCCCGCGCAGACGGCGGTCAGCACACTCACCTCGTACCCGTCGTCCGCCGCGCTGCTATACATACCGCAGCTGGTGCAGGCGCTGCGCCACGACACGGTCAGTGGTGCCCTGCCCCCCGTCCATACTAGTGCCGCCGCTGTCGTACTCCAGCCGGCCGGCAGTACCCGCTGCACTCGCAGTCCGCGCAGACTGCAGTACAAAACAATAATATTAAAAGGGTTTCTCTAGAAGTTAGATTACTTTGTTTACTAATCCTTCCTGACAGAAATTATCCATTTAATTCGTTGTTCTCGTTTCCAACTTGCATGTGGAAATTTATGAATTTGTGATCACTATTTTTGCCATTATTCTTGCAGTTAAAACTAGGTACGCAGCAGATTTCGTGACGCATGTTTATTTATTTTTAATATGAAATGCACGGTTACGTAAATTTTGTAAGTTAAAAGTAACAGTTGGTCTGCTGTAAGTTCCTTTTTTCGCCACAGTGCGCGCTGCGATCGATTCGTGGTATCCCAACCTCCTACATCGCACCCAGTGAATAGTCTTAATTATAAAATATTTAATACTCTATCTGCTGTTAACTGTTAATGCACTTGAAACAAATAAAATCTTTAATTTTCACCTTTAGATGGGCTACGTAGCGGAACTGATAAAGTCATTGGCGAAGAACTCCCAGGTGGTGGCACACCAACTCATCTGGAATATGCATACTAACATGTACACAGACGAAGAAATGCATAATAAGGATAGTGAGTGTTTTTTTTTCTATTTAGAACATGTTTACCCTTAACCTTTATTTAGCCCGAAGACTGAGATGATCGACAAAGATTCTTACGACCGAACGGTATTTTAGCCGTGATAAGGGGAACCTATAATGGGTGTTAGAGCTTCTTCTTCTTCGGGTGCCTCTCCAACTAGTGAAGGTTGGCCATCAGCTCGGAAAATTTCTTCTTATCTCTCGCGAGGCGGAACAGTTCAGCCGCACTCGCGATCCCGGTCCATTCCCTGATGTTACGTAGCCAGGACTTCTTCCTACGGCCCACTTTTCTTTTTCCTGCGACTTTTCCCATCATTATGAGTTGCAGCAGTTCGTAACGTTCGTGCCTTAGCACATGCCCTAGGTATGCAACTTTTCTCTTTTTGATGTTAGAGCAAGGACAGATTTAAGGCAGGCCAAATTGTAATTAATCCCAGATTTCGGTGGCTTCCTCTCCTTCGTTGCTCCAGGGCCGGCCCCCCCACCTCTAAATCTGACCCTGGGTAGGAAAAGCATGGACCATCAAAACCTTTCAAATAAGTCGATTTGAATTAAGTATGTTTAATATTATTTCATTACATTTCAATGAGCAGAGCTTACCCTTAGACAGAAGAAGCTGTCTGATGCAAAATAATTCATGAATTTTGAAATGCATTGTAGCAATCGATGTCGCTATTTCTACCAAACATCATTCCGTACTGTCAATATTCAGTTTAAAGGTTATATGTACATTTTTCCAACTGAATTTGAGCCTTAATTTGCGCTGTGTAAATTATACAATCTATTGGCATAATGTAACATTTATGTGTGCTTGTCTGTACCATCGTTGTTGAGTATTTTAATTATAATTTTCCAACCCTGGGATACTCCCTGTTATATTGGCTATATTTATATTCCGTAACATATGACAAGGCCAGAGTGAACAGGCATATTCTAGGCAGGCGTGTACCATCCTAGGCCTCATCATCGCTTTCCATCAGGCGAGATTGTGGTCAAACTTCTTGCCTATTAAGCATAAAAAAGAAACATATTTATTTTTAGCTACAATTTGTATACGAGTTCTTTTTTCCGCAGCGGCCCTGTTCGATATACTAGAATCTCTTACTAAAAGCATCGTGGATACCCTCTCGGGCCCAGCTCGAGCGTTCTACGAAAGGGAGTTCGACTTCTTCAGCCAGATCACCAATATCAGTGGCATTATAAGACCTTTCCCGAAGGGTGCCGAGAGGAAGAGAGCTTGCTTGGAAGCGTTGAAGAACGTTAAGGTTAGTTGTTACTTGCTCTTCTTGCTGTTTACGTTGATGGAACAACAAAAATGAAATTAGAAAAGGTAGTAAAATTACGTTAAAAAAGCTCACTTAATCAATGTTAAAACGGTCAATATATAAAAGTTTATCTTTTGAACGCTTTTCAAAATAGATCCAATTATTTATAAGTTAACCAAAAAGTACTACCAAATCTTGGACATCTTTGAAAAAAAGCAGAATAAAGTGTAACCTAATGTCACACTTCGCTGAAGTTAAGCAACTTTCGCAGTGGTCGGTCATTGGATGGATGATCGAAAATCTTCTATTTCCCCCTCTAGCTCACCCGTGATTCGGAAGGCACGTTAATCTTTGATCCCAGCTGCATCTGCAGTCGTTAGTACCCGCCAATCCGCACTGGGCCCGCGTGGTGGGTCATGGCTCAATCTCCTTATTCCATCCATAGGGAAGGCCTGTGCTCCAGCAGTTGGGACATTAATAGGCTGATGATGATGATGAAATCATTATTCTGCCACTCAGTCCATCCCTATGTCTGTGTTTCAACTATTGGGCATACATCTTAATACTTTCATTTCACTTTAGGTTCAACCTGGGTGCTACCTACCATCTAATCCTGACTCAATGGTTCTGGATATAGACTACAAAAGCGGTAAGTTAAATTTATTTATTACAGAACGCCAAAATTTTTTTTTCTCATTGATGTAAGATTTATTTTTACTGCTATTTTGTTGGTTTTTTTATTTACTTTTGTCGAAAAAGTTGTAACAATTGCACGCATATTATCTAATTACACATAAAATTGTAACAGTAACAAAAAATGACGAGTGTGCTTACGACCACAAGACTCAAGTGAAACTTCTTTAGCTCCATCTGCATGCGATATATATATATATATATATATATGTTTATATATGTGTGTGTGTGTACAATATATACATGTATGTACATATACATATTTCATTTACTAGCTATAAGAGAAAGAGAAATAATTTATTAATCGCACGTTTTCTTTCTCTCTTTCTCTTATAGCTAAGTATGTAACGTTACATCATGTACTGACAAATGCTCCCGGTGTGGGAGCACATTAAGTCAGAATGTAATCAATTTAAGATTTCTTCTCAATATAATATTTTTATAACCAAATTTATTCACAGGCACTCCTATGCAGAGTGCAGCCAAAGCTCCATATTTGGCGAGGTTCCGAGTACGCAAGTATGGCATCGCTGACATGGAGGCGGTCGCTATGGCAATAGTGTCGGGCGAAGATTTACCGAGTGTGAGTATTAATTGACCTTTGTATGGTGTGGTTTATTTTTAAAATAACGTTTTAATCTTCCTAACGTACCGTAGCTATTTAAATCGTTATCATTGAGTCATTTGACTGGGACTAAGATTTTAAAGATACAAATCCACGAGTATTCGCTCTCTCTCTCTCATTCTGAGTTAATCCTATCAGTTATGACTGATGAAAGACGGATACCGACTTAAAAGTCATCAGTCACCCCCTTAGAAGACGGGTTATGCAGCAGTCCAAACCATGACTGCCAGCAAACTGACAGCAAACTTTACTGTCTAATTGGTGTCTGAGAGCTAATGTTAGCTTTTTCCCTAAATAACAAACGTAGGGGGGTGTAGAGATCGTTTCACCTCTATGGTAGCGGAAACGTGACAGGCGGTCATCTTCAAAGTAGGCGATGACAAGAGGGAAAATGCGGTACAGATATACTAGCATCAAATAAAATATGATCTGACTCAACTACATAAGCAACTATCACACACGCACACGTCTGTAAATAAACATTCAATCGAGCGAGCGATACAGAACTGTACGCTTCTACGGAGCACGAGCGAAACGGTGGGTCCGCTTCCGAGTCCGACCGGCTGAGTTGTATTGTTGTCCTTTTCTTGTAAACAAAAGGGCGATTACGTAAATAACATTCACGACAAGCTGTGAATAAAAAAACGTGTTGCCGATGCAATTGTTATTTGATTTTGAACTATTTGTGTTCTTTCTAAAAGCATCGAACACATTGTTTTATTTATTTTTTTAAGCATTTAACTGTTAGATGTTTAAATCTAAAGAAAAGTTTACTAGAAAAAAATCCACGCGGACCAGGCAGCGGACGGGACTCGAACCCGCATCCTTCGCTATCCGGGCGAATGCACTGACCATTATGCTACCACGGCCCTATTAGCCGCGTCGAAAATTTCCTAGCCTTAAGCTGCAAGGCAGCGCCATCTCTTTGCATTGTAAGTAACCCACAATGTCAAATGAATACTTTTTCAAGTATTAAACATTTGAAAGAAGAAATAGCAATTATAGTTATGATTTTTTTTTTAATTGATTTATCTTTATAACACAATATACGCAATATTGTTATATTAAGTGCACATGCAGCGTGTTTGAATGTCCAATTATGACTAAAGCGTATAGTGGTCACGCACCACAATTCAAGTGGATCACTTTTGAGCCGCGAGTGCCGTATCTTCCCTTTTTGTTTTAATCTAAGAATAGCAAGCTTCCCACTGCCTGCCGGCCGGCAAAACTGCATGTGTATTGTAGCCGTGTGCGTTATTTGCTTTGTTAATTTTATGGGGTCCATTTTCAACTTATCAAATATGTTCATTTTAAGTAGATACTTGTAAGGAACATAATTGATACCCTAGTTTTATAACATAATTTACACGCTTAGTACTATATGATTCCAAAATTTTACATCTCTGCGTTGGTATTTGTATAAAATAATACAGTTGACGGCTTGACGAAACCATTTTATACGCGTTGTACGTATCGTCGTGCTGACGTGTATCGCAGTAAGCAGCACGTATACCAGTACCCCTAGCACGAACCATTGTCGAATTCGATTAGTTTGCAAACCGAAATGTCAATGTCAAATTTTGTATGGAAACTTGAACAGCAGCGGCACAAAATACGTAATGAGAACTAAAAATCAGTACACATTTGACAATGACATTTCGGACTCGCAAACGATACGAATTCTATCTTGAATGGTGCTAGCGGTACAGCACCGGTCTACGGCGATGCCGGTACCGAACCGGTGAGTAGAAAATCGCCCATTACCAAAATTCATAATCGAATATAGCGTGACAGATGCATACTTCGAACTGGATTCAAATTAGAAATATTTAAGCTTGAAAGATATTTAGTAACTTCAAATATTAAATTTGCAAAATAGGACAATTTAAGGTCATGTATTTCTAGGACTAAGAATATCAATATATAAAAATATTGGTGAGTTTTAGCTTTCTTAATCTGAGAGTTAGCGTATGCTTATCGCCTAAATAACATTCGTAGGAGGAGGGCAGAGATCGTTTCACATCTATGGCGGCGGAAACGTGGCAGGCGGCCATCTTTAAAGTGGGCGATGACGTCAGACAGGACATGTTGGCGCTGCAGGTCATCTCGCTGTTCAAGAACATATTCCAGCAGGTCGGGCTCGACCTGTACCTGTTCCCGTATAAGGTCGTCGCCACTGCACCTGGGGTGAGTTACAAATATGTATTTTATGTTCTGTATACCCGTTCTTTTATCAGTGTTACCATGTCAAAATGAATAGTATAGGTGTTTTTTTTTAAGTATAATAATAATAAAAATAGCTGCACATGGTTGGAAGAAAATAGAAATCTCCTAATCAGAATTGAGATGCATTGGTGTTATTGTACAATTAACGAAATGAGAACACAATATTTAATCAAACTTAAAACTAAGTCGCTGCACACAGCATCAGTGAAACGCCCCTGTTAAAATAGTATGATAGCAACTAGTACGCATTAATACTTCTCTCTTTCAATTGATCAAACGTAATGACATTATATTTCATGGCATATAATCCGCATTAGTCTTACTGTTTAAATTTTCAGTCAGTTTGACAAAATCATCCATTTAATTCGGAAACCAACTAAATTATGACAAGCATTGGTATAAAACGTCTCATATTATATAGTGTTTGTTTGAGTTTTGACGACCTCCGTGGTCGAGTGGCTTGTACGCCGGGTTTCATGGTGTCGCCGACTCGAGAGGATCGAATCCCGGTGGGGGCAGATGTTTGTGTGATGAATACATTGCATTTGTACTCTAGTCATGTATGTTTAGTATGTATTTCTATATAAATATACTTATATATGTACTGTATAATATGTATTCTATCCGTTACCCTAGTATCCCATAACACAAGCCTTACAGTGCTTACTTTGGGGCTAGGCTGATTGGTGTGAGTGTTGGAAATATTATTTATTTATTTAGTGTGGCGTGATCGAGTGCGTTCCAAATGCCAAGTCTCGGGATCAGCTCGGAAGGCAGACCGACATAGGAATGTACGAGTACTTCATCAAGAAGTACGGCGACGAGACAACCAGGGAATTTCAGGTAACCAAAATGAACACTTCACGATTAATAGCGATTTGTTTTTGGTGTGAAACATCCATAGGCGCACGTAAAACCGATTTCTGGCGTGGCGATGCGTCGCCACGCTGTATGATGGTATATATATATATACAGTCTATATGCATGCAATCCTATCGCAATCTGTTCTTTTCTGCATATTACTTATACAAAATAATGTCGATGTTTCACATCTGCCAGGCGTCACGTGGCGGATTATTTTTTTAAATTAGAAACTTCTTTTGTGTGAAATACTTGGTTTTCTTTTACGTTTTTTATGTTCCTTGTTTGACGCCACCAAGTTTTATTTACGCGATTAAAAGTAGCCTTTGCTTTTCTTTGAAGTCCCCTTTATCTGTCCACCAAAACTCATTTACACCAGCTAAATGCTTTAGGCGAGAAAGCGTTCAAGGCAGAGCTACAGGTGGCAGGTTATAATGCTGGCTATTCGCATATGCTATTTGTGAACTTGACAATAGTCTTTCCTTTTCACTCCGTATAGAGTACGATAAGGCCAACCTGATATCAAAATGACAAATAGCAAATAGGAATAGCCACGTGTAAAGGTTTGCGAAACTTTACAGGAAGTATCACTCGGTAAATTCCATTTTCTTTGGCTTAGGTTTGAAAAATGATTAGTGAATTTTTAAACTACAATTGTTTTTAAAGCTGTCGTATAGATGGAAAGATAGTATTTCTTAGTTAAACATCTGACAGCCTGTGAGTTGACACTTTTTTAAATGATAAGTATAACTTATAACGCGCGTATACAATTTTATTTTTAGTACTTCCGTTTTGGTAATAGTAGTGTTTAACAAGTATAATGTTCCAGGCTGCGAGAAGATGTTTCATCACGTCAATGGCGGCGTACAGCGTCATCGGGTTCCTGTTGCAGATTAAAGACAGGCACAATGGAAACATCATGTTGGACAACGACGGACATATCATACACATAGGTAGAATTCAGTATTTTTTGAAGTGAAACTGGCAAATACGTTACGCGTTACGAAAAGGGTGTTCGGGCGAGGCGAACGGGAGTTGAGTGGGGGATATAAGTAAGAGAAAGCAGTGCGCGCGCACATTTTCTTTCTCTCTTTCTCGTATAGCTAGTAAATGAAATATGTATATTTAAATACATGTATATATTGTACACACACACACATAAAAATGGAGCTAAAGAAATATATTGTTTTAAACTTTCATGGTCACTAACATTATAGATATTAACGGGATTGTTACCATGTACCTTGTTTTTTATGAGGAGCTAAAGAAGTTTCTCGTGTGATCATAAGCACACATTTTTTTATATTAGTATCCTTAAAAAAGGCGGTTAAAACGTTTTATTCAACAGTTTTCTCGAACCAGCATCCTTCGCAATCCAGGAAAATGCAGTGACCATATTAGTAGCGTAGCGGTTTTATAAAAACAACCTTATTCATGTGGGTGGTCCACAGTTTAATATTATATATTTACATAACTTTGAACAAATTCACGTAGCGTAGATTTCTGTGCTACCCATTTGGCATCGTGCAATGTCAGGCTCAGTCTTATCCTTTTCAAATATCTGTGGTCTCCTTGTAAATCTATAGCAGCTTTACCTTTTCACCTTTTATCACTGTATTTCTTGTGTGATATTTGCCGTTTCAATACGTCAGTCAAATTATATAGAAATCCGTATTAATCGAATGTCTTCTTTTAATGCAAGAGAAGCATTCACATTCTATGTAATAATTTGAACCAGGTGATAGCTCGAAAAATTAAGAAGGATGGTGACGCTAATATCGTGGCTTTTAGTGCTTAGAGCCTGTTTTCCAATCGATAAGCAAAGTTCTTAGTAAACAACTTCAAACACAATAGTGCGTTCAGACTAAGAGTAGCCTGAACGCACTTTTGTGTTTGAAGTAGAGATATTAATATATTGTTTTAAACTTTCATGGTCACTAACATTATAGTAATATAAGTTATTTACGGGATTGTTACCATGTACCTTGTTTTTAGCGAGTTACCGATATTTCGGCACTGTTGCAAGCGCCATGATCACGGAGTAACTGAAGTAATTGCGGGTAGGCTGTTATTGGCAGACATATCGGTCTACCCTCCGACGAAGTCTTTTATTGCGTTCGATACCCGTACCACTGTTCACATTCTCACTATTCACTCGAAACTGTTCTCGACACACAACACTTACAGTATCGGATCGCGACACGACACTTTTTTGATTATTTCCGGCTTTACACATACGAACCACAGGATTCCAGACACTCGACAATTTAAACCCGTCCTCACGATTGAAATTTTTATGTTTTGTTATTTCAATCGCTTCCCTGACCAATCTTGGTATGTAGTGGCGTTCTGTCGAGATAATCGTATCGTTTAACGATGTTCCACGATGGCTGATTTCTGCGTATCGTACGCAGAAATCAGCCATCGTGGAACATTTGATAGATTCTGGTTCTAACCACTGGATTGAGTTTCACAATCCCGTAAATAACTTATATTACTATAGAGATATTAATGCGCTATAAAGTATAGTATAGCAAGCTCATACAATATTATGTAGTATAGCGTGGTGTAAAGGTGTTCTTTGTAAATGTATGGTGCGCGTTATCTTGCTATGAGTTAGGTAAGCTATAATACTTGTAGTATAGCGTAATTTGAACGCACCTTTATGTTCGAAGTACCTTACTTATCAATTGTGAAACAGGCCCTCAGGCTCAACTTACACTGGCGCAGAGTCAAAGCGACGCGACTCGTCTGTTTTTCGCAATACGAATGTGCATTAATATTGGGAAAATAGAGATGAATTTGCTAAAGGCGAAAAACATGAAACCTGGTATTAAGGAATCGCATTTGTGCTCGATTCCTTAAATTTGAGAAATTAATAGAGATGTATTTGCTTAGAGCGATTAAGAGCCGTAGTGCAATCATTTATTGAAATTATAATTACAAGCTTTTACGTTGTTATTTTGTTTGTAGATTTCGGGTTCATGTTCGAATCGTCGCCGGGCGGCAACTTGGGCTTTGAGCCGGACATCAAGCTGACCGACGAGATGGTGATGGTGATGGGCGGCAAGATGGAGGCGCCGCCCTTCCGGTGGTTCTGTGAACTATGTGTGCAGGCCTTCCTGGCCGTCAGGTGATATATATTGTGGTCAATATTGGACTCTAACGCGGTAACAATAAGGCACACGAGATGGTGATGGTAATGGGCGGCAAGATGGAGGCGCCACCCTTCCGGTGATTCTGTGAACTATGCGTACAGACCTTCCTGGCCGTCAGGTAATACATATTGTGTTCAACATTAGACTCTAACGCAATAACAATAAGGCACACGAGATGGTGATGGGTGGCAAGATGGAGGCGCCACCCTTCCGGTGATTCTGTGAACTATGCGTGCAGGCCTTCCTGGCCGTCAGGTGATACATATTGTGTTCAATATTGGACTCTAACGCGATAACAGCAAGGCACACGAGATGGTGATGGGCGGCAAGATGTAGGTGCCACCCTTCCGGTGATTCTGTGAACTATGCATGCAGACCTTCCTGGCCGTCAAGTGATACATATTGTGTTCAATATTGGACTCTAACGCGATAACAATAAGGCACACGAGATGGTGATGGGTGGCAAGATGGAGGCGCCACCCTTCCGGTGATTCTGTGAACTATGCGTACAGGCCTTCCTGGCCGTCAGGTGATATATATTGTGTTCAATATTAGACTCTAACGCGGTAACGATAAGGCACACTAGATGGTGATGGGCGGCAAGATGGAGGCGCCGCCCTTCCGGTGGTTCTGTGAACTATGTGTGCAGGCCTTCCTGGCCGTCAGGTGATACAAATTGTGTTCAATATTAGACTCTAACACGCTGACAATAAGGCTCACGAGATGGTGATGGGCGGCAAGATGGAGGCGTCGCCCTTCCGGTGGTTCTGTAGCCTTCTTAACAGTCAGGCGATACAGAAATTATAAAATTTGTATCAAATTAACGCGAACCGAACAGTATTCGGCAAGTAACTAAAGTCAGTAATGTAGCAACCATAAGAAATTGTCTGGACATTGACGTCTGGATGGATCATGATCGAAGGACCAAATAGACAATAGTACAGTGAATAACGCACGAGCCGTGAACCGCGGCGTATGACGGAGCAGCGTGAAAGCACGGATACTTCAATGCTCTTACGGAAACTGCACGAACGGTTAATCTATCTTCGAAATCAAACATTCTCGAAAATAACATTTAGAATACAAAACCGCGCGAACTTGCGGTGTTGCAGTCCACCGCGGTTTGCGGCGTTGCTTCGTATATACAAAGATTGCCCGAGCAGTCAGATTCAATAGCTTGAAGCTGCCATTATATACTGATCTAGCAGTTAATACAATAGATTATTATAAAATGGGTCAAAACTAAGTAATTTTCATCCAATTAAAAATCTGGGGTTTATTATTATTTTTTCAGCTCAGTATCATCACTTGGAGGAGCTCGATGGCGCAGGTGGTTAGCGCGTTCGGCTGCGATCGTTGAAGTTAAGCAATTGGATGGGTGACCAAAAATCTTCTATACCGAGTTCCTCCGTGCTTGGGAAGGCACGTTAAGCCGTTGGTCCCGGCTGCATCTGCAGTGGTGGGTCCATGCCCAATGTCCCTATTCCATCCATAGGAAAGGCTTGTGCCCCAGCAGTGGGGGACAATAGGCTCATGATGATCAACACTTAATACACCAATAACAATCTCCTATCTTCCCCAGGCCATATCAAGAAGCTATCATATCCATGGTGTCTCTAATGCTGGACACCGGTCTCCCGTGCTTCCGAGGTCAGACTATTCGCTTATTACGTTCCCGTTTCGCCCCGAACTCTACGGAGAAGGAAGCGGCCGCCTACATGCTTTCTGTCATACGTAACTCCTTCCTTAACTTCAGAACTAGGACGTATGACATGATTCAGTATTATCAGAACCAGATACCTTATTAAACGGATGGATACTTGATTTTTTTAGTTTGAGACTGTGTACTGTATTTGGTTTGAACGAGAGATTTGATGTAGAACGACTTTATGTGCACTTTTAGGTCCGTATTACAGAATGACAACTAAATGTTGATGTTTACTTGAGTACAGTTAGAAAGGGATGTCGCTATGTGCTGCATCTATATACATCCCTTTCTAACTATGCTCAAGACTAGATCAATCACTGAGATTTTTTCTCTAATACGGGCCTTAGTCTGTTAATAGAATCGAAGTTCATACAATCGTTGTAATTTTGATTTACAATTCGTACGTGTTCGAAGTGAAACTTCTTTACGCACGCTTGACTTGGGAGGTAAGCTGGCGAATGCGTTACGCGTTACGAAAAGTGTGTTCGGGCGAGGCAAACGGGAGTTGAGTGGGGGATATAAGCAACAGAAAGCAGTGCGCGCGCATATTTTCTTTCTCTCTTTCTATAGCTAGTAAATGAAATATGTATATGTACATACAAGTACATATATTATACACATACACATATATATATATATATACAGATGGAGCTAAAGAAGTTTCACTTCAGTCGTGTGGTTATAAGCAGACTCGTTTTATTTATTATTTTATCATACACAAAATGTAAATACGTCGTAACCAATCCGATGAACCAATCGTATAATCCCTTATTAAGTCATAATACTTTAAAAAATCGGAAGCATTATTGTTTAGAATTCTAAGTTAGAAAGCATACAGAAACACTGAAGGGAGAAGCCATAGCGACCATTACTATTCAAATCATTGTCATATTTTGCGTGGGTACGCAAACGCAGTTTAACGTACGCGTCGCATATAAAACAAAACTGTAACTACCGTAGACAAAGACCCACTTTCACCAAACTTCGTCAATTCATTTGTTAGCTAACGGTTCGTTAAAACTAACAAGGCTGTTAAATTAATTGAAGTCCTATATTAAAAATGTGAAAACATATACATATGTAACAGACCATTACTAAATTGACCGTGAAGGGAGTGACTTGAAAACATATATTAAAACGACTAAAACATAATGTCATTATTTGTTTGGCATAAATATGATGACGTATCTTATTTTCGTCGAAAGTATAATATTTTTCATTAAATCTCTCGTTAATATGACGAAAGCACAAGGTCCTCTCCAAGGTAGGGAAACAGAAAAATTTTGCAGGGTAGCTTTCAGAATTCATAGTATTTTTATTTATGTAACATACAAAAGATCACTATTGAGAAGGCTTATAAAAATATTCGAGCATTTGGCCTTTTCTTTTACGACCTGCGATTATAACAATAAAATGAAATTTCAATAATATAGTGCAATTTTGTTGCTGTTTCTGTAAGCGTGTCAACATTTTTTTAAATTTATTTAGGGATTGATCAAGAATATCAACGAGTGCGAAAGAGAGACAGACGCTGTTAAACAGTTTTGAATTATAAAATTATGTCAGACTTACTAAAATCTGATATTTCTTTGATATTTCTATTATTTTCTATTTATATATATATGTGGAATAAAATGTGAATGATTTTGGTGCAGGAACTTTTTAAACACGAGGTTAATATTGTACGTTTAAAGGATTTGGATAGGTGGTGTTGTAAATTTGGAAATGGTCTAGTCTAATTTATTATCATCATTAAATTAAGCTGGTGAAAACGTAATGTGGAAAGTTTGATTAGGTTTTCTTTCTAAATTGATTATTCGGCAAAATAATAAATACATATTATAATCCGCCACAATATATATTATAGTAATAAACAATACTCTATTCATGGAAACAAGCTCATATAATTTTTCTCTCATTGGCCCGAGTAACGACGCTATGCTGTGTTGTTGTTTTACCGGCCAATGATTAACAGTATTCTATGCTTGTCTTTTGTAAGCGATTGTGTGATAAAATAGCACTCCACTTACTCGTTTCCGTGAACAGAGTACCCCTTATAACTATAATATTAAAATAATAGAGATTTTATTCTCATTATAATTGTAAAGTGGTTCACACACCCTAAGTATTTTTTTGCGATTTGTATTTGTACTTGTACGAAATAACAGCAGGTGGTAGTTGTGAATTTATTGCACACACACACTGCATGTGTTTTTCTGTGTTCAATAAGTACACGCAGTCACACATCAACTTACAAAAAACTATAAAATTGCCTCAATAGATTGTTGATAAAACTTATCAAGTAGCATAAATCACAAAATCTGTTGGAGAAATTTCATAGTTTTGTGTAAATTGCCTAGTGGCTTTCTGTACAATGTTTTACTTCATACACAGGAATATAATTAGCATGCAAACACAGAAGTGCGACCATCCTTAATTTACAAAGTGGTAACAGTTATTGAGTTTCAGAAATGATTAGTGAATAATTGTCACTTTTAAAAAGCCAATCTTAGTGAGATTTACACATAAATTTTTGTGTTATCACTTTATATACGTATAGAAGATTAAGATACGTATTAAAGTAGAATCTACTTGTAAGTTCAAGAAGAAAAAAGTAATATCATTCATGTCGTTTTGTTTGATAACAAATAAGTAGGTGCTTTTTATTTATATTATGTCACTACCACTAAGGGCCGATTCACACCGGAATGGCAGCGGCCGGCAGCGATGTCGACGCGGCGAGCACGATTAGTGTAACGTAAGTTAAAACTTCAACTACATACTTAAAAGATCAGTATTGCTTAAAAACTTAAAGGAGTCACATCGCTTGCGACACCGCGAGATCTTTTCAAGCGATAGTCTTTTAATTATGTATATAAAGTTTAAAATTATTACTCAAAATGCTGGCCGCATCGTTGCCGGCCGCTACCATTCCGGTGTGAATCTGCCTTACACAATGTTTTTGTTTTACTGATAGGTTCAGGCCAGGCAGTCTGCTGTATCCAAAAACTACAATTTTTTGCACTAAAATTACAGTTGATCTTTGAATCAAAACTGCTAACACAGTTAACTGGCTTATTAGAAGGGAGCGGATCTGCAGTCAGTTTTTGTGCAGTTGTTGCTTTTTTATATTTTTCAATAAGTAGACCCTTAAAAAGTTGGTATACGCCCCTTTTAGAAAAGTATACAAAGTTTATGATCGTATCATTGAAACTAGTGTATTTAAAGAAAATTATATTAACCACTTAAAATATGTTTATATGTATGTTTGATAAAACACGTTATTCTAGTTTTAAAAAGTTATACGTTCGCCTCGAATGTACCACGCAACCTCGCATATTCAAGGGGTTTATTAACTAACTACCTCTTTGCGTGATATTGTTCAGGGACATTAAGCAGTTTTTCGCCCCGTAAAATTCGAAACGTAACAAAGAAAATTCACTATTATCTCCGCTACATAATGTACATATTCCTACTGAGATAAAAACAGAGGCGAGAGATAAAAATTAAACGCGCGAATTTACGCGCATTGACGTCTAATTATTAGCTCAGAAGGAAAATGGGCATTACGTTACGGAGATAAGGGTGAATATGCTTTGTTACCGTTTCTGAAATAAACTTCGACTCTGCGCTAGTATGAATTAACCATTAGGAATAAAGATCACATCGCAGACTGGACGCAATAATATGTCCTGTATTAAAACCCTAATGTTGTAATTATTAATTTTAGTAAAATTGATAAATAAATTTTTGCCAATTTAGATTTCCCTTATATTGTATTCACCTGTTAAGCATTATTCAGATTAGCTTTTTACGCGAGTTTCGTATAAAAGCGTGTATACAATACGCGCATTAAATGAAAGCGAATACATACCTAGTTTGTACCGACGTCAAAATACGTTAATCTGAGAAAGCATTTAGTAATGAAACTCTATGTAGTAATGATCTATAAATCCTGTTGAGTCACTATACTTGTTTGTGCATAATAAATGTATAGTCTGTTGTTGAATTATGTTTAAATTATATTTTAATAATAATAATAACTTGTAGAAAAAAATCATAACTATGTATTTATATTAATCTTGACATTCCTGTGATTACCTTCGTGTTGTTATGAAATAAAATATTTGGTAAAGGAAATGTTTGCTTTATTTTATTTCTTATATTACCAATTGGTGCAAGTGCAATAGCATTGATCCTGCCTTTTTATCTGAAGATCCTGGGTTCAGCTGTTGAGCAATTATAGTTCCTATGTCATGGTTGTTAAAAACTATCTAGGTACTTGTATTATTGTATTATTCATTTATTTAATATTGTTTTCCTTTACCATCATTAAACCAGTGAATCCCGCCACAAATTAATTGTACAAATAAAATAGCAGCAGCAGCTTAAGAAATACTTTATTCAAAATCCATTCCATGAATGTCAATAAACGATAAATAGTATTCAATCTTTTTCATACATTTTTTCAATTTGTTGGTGTCCAAACTGGGCAGATGCTCTGTTGTGTGTTCTGGGAATTTCGTTGAAAATTCATTTTTCTCTTTTGCAACTTTATTAGTTCTGTTAAGTGTTTTGCTCTCTGTTACGGCGTCAGCTAGAATCTTATACAGATGTGAGAGTGCTGCCTTACAGTAATATAGCTTGTTTTTCTCACTTGGTCCTTGTAATATTAAAAAAGTATCTCTTCTCATCACATCAAGACATGCATTGTCTGTTTCAATAAGGTCACTCTGTGGATTTAAAACAAATTATAGGTTTTAATTTGGAAATAACTGGAGCTGCGTATCTGTTATGATTATAGAAGTACTGAGAGTATAAACAATATGTTTGTATCATTCTCGATGTGATGTTTATAACTCAGTCACACAGAAGTAGTTAAATGAACTCGAATAAAGTTTGATAATCAGAAAGGGCACTGCTATACTATAGATTAGCTCAAAAGTAACTTTTAGTGCTGGTCAATATTTTCCCAGGCCTACATTCAAATGATCACTAAGAGCCATTCGCCGGCGACTGTGACTTACTATAGTTTAAATAGGTGCTTGCGCACTTAGTCGTCAGTTGCCCGGGCGACTCAGCGACTCGCCGCGTTGTGGCGATAAGATAGACTAGGTAAAAGAACACTTAGCATCTGGATGAAGCTTATCCTAATTATATGATAATATTAATGGTTAAGACATCTATTTATTAATAAGTTTTATTAAGAATGCAATTTGTGATAGCAATAGAAGAAGACAACATCTCACTTAGACACGCGTTTAATTCAGTTGACATCCTTGAATGCAGTTGCAATTAAGACAATAAATTTACAAATAGTATACCTGCAAACATTTTTGTGCGACTGCTTCTACTGAGGTGGCTAAATCATCATAATTCACATTGCAGTCTAAATTTCCACATATATTAAGCAAATATGTGGTGATTTCTATAGGGTCAGCTTCACCATTAAAATATCGCATGGTGAAAGCATAGGCAGCCAAAACATTTGCTATGTTTTTTCTTATTGCGTTTGATGGTGTGACAGACTGAAATTAAAGATGAACTTAATTTTTTTTAACTTCCTTAAAACAAATATTTATATCCTTTCCAGGGTTATTTTGGTTGGCAATAACACATTTTGGATTAATATTTACACATTTAGGCAAATAGTAATTTAAAATTTAATAGTAGTTCTCAATATTTCAAGAATTTTAATCTTGAACTCCATTACATTTTTGTACTATTTTAAAATATGTAAGTTTGTATACAAGGTACTTAGTGAACATAATTGCGCTTACTGTTAATGTTGAAAATTGTGGAACTTCCATTATATGTGGACATTTTCTTAAAGCATCCTCTTCTTCATCATTTTTCTCATCAATATCTTGGACTAGCTTCTCTCCCTTACTAAACATCCACCATGGCTCCCACTGTGGAATCACAGATTCAATGTCTCCCTGATTTAATAGAGCTTCAAATTCATTCTTTTCATCTGTTGTCAAGACGTTCCACAATGCTTCAGGGTCATCAAGATTTAAATCTTTTATTCTTGCCTCCAAATCTTGTGCTTCTTCATCATCCGAGTCAACAATTTCACCATCATCATCATCATCATCACCGTTATCACCATCTGACCCCTCTAGAAAATTGTTCATGTAATCTGGTTCATTAGTGTCTTGATTTTGCATCTTTTTAAGGATGTCCAGCATCTTTTGTTTATCTTCATCATTCACAGTAAGCGAGGACAGCTCGTCGTTTACGCAGTCTTTGTAGAAGCTCTCGGAGCATTCCATATGCTTCTCAGATTTGTAACAGTCCAGAGAACAATAAAAAATTGAACATCGCGGGCAACAGTATTTTCTAGGGTTTTTATCACATCTGAAAACATTAGGAAATGATAAGAATTAAAAAACGAGGATATCAACATTTCAAAGCAGGATCATTATTATAAACTTCCAAAGAATAATGTACACAAAAATGTAGTAAATATCTGGGATGATTGAGATTTAGTTTTGATACTTACATGCCGCATACATTTTGATCGTCTGATTTCTCGGACATTTTTGAGGTTTTGATTATTATTCACGACAATAATATCGTAAAAAAGGATTTTTCATGAACAGCACACAAAAAATCCGACGGAGACAACACAACAATTGCCTAGTGCCATACCAGCTGATTTTGACAATCGACAGCAGCAGTAGCACAGGACATAAGACAGGCCACCTCTCAGTCAGTTTTCGTTTTGTTTATCTAATATATAGATGAATAGATGAAATCTTAAATATAAATAATCTTAAAAAGCAAGAATTGCATTTTCACAAGAAAGTAACTAAAGAAACTTAAATTTTGTTTAATCAATATTTTGTATTGTTGTAAGTGGATAAAATATTTTTGATGTGTAACATGTTTCCTCTCGCTTTCCTGCAATTTGTGGCAATTTGTGATTTCGTGAAATGGGACGGAACTTGACGGAAGTGTGTAACAGGAAATCGCGAAAGCGCGCGCTATTTGATTTGATTTTAGAACATAATGTTCAAATTGCTTATTCCTTTTGTAGTAGGTTTTATTCCTTTTTTTACTTATATAAGGGGAGGTTTCAAATGTTACACATTATGCGCGACTACTGTAAGGCTCGCTCGTTTTTTTCTTGACAATGAAATCATTAATATTCTATAGTTGTATGGCTGTAAGGATTTTAAACCTTTGTTTAACATAAATAAAAGTGTTAGTGATGTTCTAGGATAAAAATGTACCGATTCAATTCCAATCGCATTACAAAATACTATTTTATCTTGGGATATGGATAATTTTCCTAAACTACAAAGCAAGTCCGACTAATGAATTTCGAACTTGCTTTTCTTTAAAGTTTTGACAATGCCAATATTTAAACTGTCTATTTGACGTTACGAATTGGCGATGATTGTGTGGGTGGGTTTTAGGAATATTATAAATATATGTCACGGACAAAGAATATGTAACAGTGAAATATAAACACGGGTATCTTCTTATAATTCGTTTAATCACCACGTTCACGTTATAACCCCAAAATCCATGCACCAAACACAAAAGGACCATAAATTCGGTCTCTTATCCGAATTTCCTCTCAATATACTTGATATTAATGGTTACAAACCATTAATATCAAGTATATTCTTTTTCAAGAAATATTTGTTAAAAAATATAGATACCTATGTAGTTCTATAAATTTATACACTGACTTTTCTATATTTAACTACAACCTACCAAAATAAGTTAATAACCCGGTAGACTAATTGTCATACACCTACAGTACAAAATAATACGTTAATGCAGTAATGCACTTGTTTGCACGGTCGAATCTATTTACTAAATAATAAAAAATTAAAATCCACGACAAATATCGTTTTCTGACGGGTTCAAGGGCGAGTAGAAATTAAATCGTGGCAAACGAAGCTCTCGAAGGTTAAGGTATTTATATACAAAAATATAAACAAAAAATATAAACTATTACGATCAAATTAAGTGAAAAATGCGTTGCACCTATGTTGCATCGTAACGTAACTATCGATGTTTCACTTCCATCTCATCACACGCTCTTTTTATAATCTCCAAGAGAGATTGGTCGCACTCACATTTCATTGCGATACGATTCAATATTCTTTAAACAGTTTACACACAATACAGTAGTATCAACGCGTATCGCGTTCTATTACAGTATTTTGCAAAAATATATAGTTTCTGAACGTATTGATATCGGATTTGAAGATATTGCTAGCAATATACGTTTCAATATCTATATAAGATTTGTATCGCCTACTCCTACTTTTTATTACAGTATAAGCCAACTTAATATAAAATTAATCAAGAATAGCGCAATCGAATTTCTCCTAGTATTTCTTATGCTACAACTACAATACATTGCTACGAATTGTAGATGAATAACAATGTCAAGCAATTTTAAGTTTAATATATTTAATATTTAATCATAAATAGATTGTAAAATGTTTACTACTTGAGTAGTGTTTACATTGTATTAACTACTTTTTCAATAATTTGGGGTTTTTCGTGATATTTACCCAACAGTTCATAAATAAACAAAAATAAAGGTATCGCAAAACATTTTTTTCTTTTAATTTCGTATCACACGATATTTGGAATATCGGATGAAATATATCGGGTGCAATCGATATATTGCATGCATAATATGCATTGCATATATCGATATTTTATGAAATATCGATTTATATCGTGCACTCCTAAATGGAACTAAAAAAAGTTGGCCGAAATGGAGAAATTCACGGCCGTAAAACTTAAAAAAAAAGTAGTTAAAGTAAACAAAGACCATGTTTTTGTTAAAATCCATCTCAAATTTATAACTAGTAATTGTTATCTAAGTCCAATACAATACAACCAAAATGTCCAAGCCAGAATTGATAGAGGATTTCTTCGGAGTGTACTTACTTTACAACATAAACCCAAAGTTCAAAGGCCGGACTTACGTTGGTTACACTCGGGACCCGAACAGGCGTATAATGCAGCACAACCGAGGAACCTGGGCTGGTGGTGCTAACAGGACTAGTAATAGAGGACCTTGGTTAGTTTATTATTCTGTAATTTACATGACCGACAGTTGAAGAATTTTCAAGATGTTATTGGTTATATTTTTATTATTTTTGGTTAAGCAAACTAACTTGTTCCAGGAAAATGGTCCTCATAGTTCATGGTTTCCCTAATAATATTTCAGCACTTAGGGTATGATCAGGTCAACAAATGAAGTCAAATAAAATTTCAATATTCAATTAATTCCTTTTTATTTACATATCTCTTTAATATCTTTCAGTTCGAGTGGGCTTGGCAAAATCCTACAAAGACTATCAGATTACAACACTTGTCTTTAAAGAAAATACCCAGGAAAGAGTCGGAGTATCAATTTAAGCTACGAGTCATGAGTGAAATGTTACGTGTTGGACCATGGTCTCGACTGCCGTTGATTGTAAGATGGCTGGAGCAAGATTATATTGAAGATATCCCTGTAAGTAAATTTGTAATGATTTGATGTTATTATCTACTTGATGTTTTAGATAATAATCAAACCTTAAGGCCCACATTATTACATAACTTTCAACTCTGAAAGCAATCTAGGGATGAAAATATCATGAAAACAGTATCTCTAGATTGTTATCTCAGAGTTGAGGGTGATCTATTAATATAAGCCTGAGACTGGTTATCTTTATTAGTTTGCAATAAATATTATTATAAAAGCTCCATCAACAACTGACTAATCCGTTTCACAAGAGCTTACAAATTAATGATACAAGATCTGAACTAATGATAAAAGCTCTGTCGAAAGGTGCTATCCCACAATCCATGTTGCGAAGACAAGGCCACTCCGCGCAGGGTTGCCTAATGTATGGGTACTCTAACGTTGAGATTAAGCAGTATCTATACATGAAACGAGGTGATTATATGATTAAAGCATTTATTTACCATATTTGATCTACCTTACAAAATTTGTTAATTTTATACACTAATAATTTTGGTCCTCTGAAAGGGTGAAGGCCTCCTCTGCTTCCCTGTTACTGGCTTTCTTGGTCCAGTTCTGATGATACGATAATACAAATAAGGATGCACTTAGATTGCATAATGTATCTGTACTTACTGAGAGGATCAGTCAACATTGTTTAAATCTCATATCAAAGTGTACGAGTTATCTATTTACCTCATATCTAAAGATACTGTTAAATCTCAAACATTAGAGTTCTCATACATTTGGAAACTGCATGGCTCGGCATCATCCGCGACAACACAGACCGTGCGATAGCACCTTAACAAAGTTTCATCAAACAACAGACTAATAAGTTTAAATAGTTAGGTACTTTCCTATGATTGATGATACCCAATTTTTCTTAATATTACTGAAGTAAAATAATAATTTTAGGTTGCAAGAAAACCACCAAATCATATGTTAATATGTAAAGGACCAATTAAAACCTGCAACTTAAAGAAAACAATTAACATTCAAGAGGAAATGGAAGTTGAATGCTTGTTGTGTTCAAATATGATAACTGACTCACAAAGCAAATTGACATGTTTGAATTCAAGCTGCGAACTGACAGCACATATAACATGTTTAGCTGACTTGTTTTTGAATCCTGGTGAATTCGTGCCTATTGAAGGTAACTGTCCATTTTGTAGTAAAAATTTGAAATGGGGTGATTTGATTAGAAAAATGAGGGGTTGCAAAATGGATGGTGGTGATGTGGTAAGTGATGACTACGGTAGTGACAAAGTATGTGATGACAGTGATGATGATGATGTTGTGATCTGCTCACAAGAAAAAGGTTTTGTTGACAATAATTCTCATTGGTTTGAATCAGTGGAATGTGATAATGGATTGTAATGACGAATAAATATGATTTCAGTAAAACAATATTTTATTTAATATTTTTATTGTTAAATAAACCAACTACAACTATTGAAGTAAAGGGTTTTTATGTAAAAAGGGTGTCATACAAGATTATAGTTTGACTGAAAGTAAGCAACCGTCATAGGCTTTATGGAGCTTACGAAGAATTTAGCATAATGACGGTCGCATCACAATACATATACGAAAATTTATTTCTTGTAAGAAAGAGTAGTCGTTAGCACCCGCCAATCCGCACTGGGCCCGCGTGGTGGGTCATGGCCCAATCTCCCTATTTCGTAGGGAAGGCCTCTGCCCCAGCAGTGGGGACATTAATAGGCTAATATTGATAAAGAAAAAAATATTAATTTGTTTCTTAAAAACAGTGATGTTCACACACTCAATATAAGAAACAAGTAACTTTACCTGCGACTAGCCAAGCAATTTCTTAACCATAATTAAATTCAAAATGCTATAAAAAGCAATTGTTAAGAAAGCTTATTACAAAGTGTCTCATTATATTACAGACAAAAATGCTTGGGGTTGACCTGTTTGTTGGTCATTCATGACCCAATCATTTCAAGAGGTTTTAAGCTATTGCATAGATTTTATCGCGAGCTTTGGGCGCGGCGACCGAATCAAGAAATTTCGTAACGGAAATAACAGTACAGATGAACACAATTTTCGCCTTTCCAGTATCAGTCGAAACGGCGCAATGTGTTAAATTTTTGCCAAGGGACCAACGTTCGATGCATCACCGCGGTCGTCGATTCAAATCCCGCACTCGTATTTTTTATTATAATTTTTCCTTTTTTTATATATTTGATTTAGATCCCAGCACCTGTTCTTATTTTTATTTGTCTCTCTTCTATTGAGACTTCATAATTTAAATTTTGGACTAAAGATGGTAAACTGTGGACTTTGTGGAAGTTTTTTGGCGCCGGCCAATGCTGTTGTTTGCTGTGCTTGCCCAATATAATATCATAAGGCCTGCCTCGCAATCTATTAATATCAAAGAAAAAACTTGAACTAATATCAAAGAAAAAAAATGCGTAAGTTGATAAATAATATTATGAAATAGCTTTACCGTGGCAGTCCCCGCGTGCCACACGTATTTTTTTTTCTATATGAAATAAATCATGATTGTATTGACGTTGTAACAACATAATGATTTGTAAATGTTGTTACATTATACTTTTAATGTTGTGGAATATTTTTCGTTCGTTTTTTTTCTGCATTTAAAAATATGACCTTTTACGCGTGGTAGAGAAAAATAATTTTTGACCCAGGTTATTCAGTTTATCAACGCAGTCTTTCACCAATTTCGAGCATATCGTGTTCGAAATAATGGCATTCTGAAAATATATTCTTAAATGGCCTGCTTTAGTTCGTTGACGATTGGTTTCTGCACATTCTATGATGGCATATACCTCTACCTGGAATATAGGAGCGTGTTTTCCGAGATTCACGCTTTTGTGAATTTTGAAGCCATCTGTAAACCAGATTTGACCACGTTTCTCTGATTGGCAGTTCCATCTTGAAATTTCTGGCAAAATTTAATGACATCTGTAGTCATTGCTAAGTGGTATTAGCTCAAGCGTTGTTTGGTGGAGAGACCTCAGTGCTTGAGAGTGCAAGTTCGTCCTGCCAGTAGTGCTTACTCTGTATATACTTGCTTTCGCCTCCTTTATTAGTTTGCCCTACCCTGGAAGCTCCTGGTGACGGGAAAAGTACAGGGAAGGAGACCGAGAGGAAGAAGCCCCATGCGCTGGACAGACCTGATCCGCGACAATACCAAAACTGGAGTCCGCAATGCACTCCACACTACCGAAGACTGCAACAAGTGAAAAGTGATCGTCCACAAAATAATTCGTGGAGGTCACGACCCTCAGCAATGAGGAGCACGACATAAGAGGGATTAGTTTGCCACCCCTTCTCGGGGATGAATAAAAATAAGAATGGGAATGGATAGACTAATTCACAGCAACTTTTGCTTTATAAAGTTTATACAAATAGGCAATAGGTACTTTAAAACTTCGAGTTGAAACGTCAATTTTTTAACAAGAAATATCACGTTTTCAGGCGGTTTTCATAAATAACTCTCTAAATATGCATTTTATGAAATATCACTAGCAACAGCTTGTTGAAGGTTGGTTCTTCTTTGTCAAACGCCAAAATCTAAAGTTTCAACGTGAAATATCCAAAAACACTGCATTTTTATTATTCGCGAGAGTAGCGTCCACTGCCAGGAAAATGGCAACCCTCGGCAGATTACCAACATCGAAGTAGAGGGTATGTAAAGCCCAAATCCAAATTTTGGTGTAAATTGGTGCTGTTTGCCAGGTTTTCCCGTTTTTTCCGTGCATCAACTGAGCTATAGGTTTTTCGCGAATATTTGATTTATCAAATCATCGTACGACATATTATTTATAAGATATATATAATATATAACCAATATAAGAAAATAAAGTGGCGGTACGAAGTTCGCCGGATCAGCAAGTTCGTGGGTTTTAGAAAGATTTTTACAAAAAGTTAACAAAACTATTACATTTATCGAATTAATTAATGCCAACATTAATTTATAGTGTAGGTACCTATATTAAGTGACTGGACAATAAAAATGGTAGAATAAGAATAAAAAAATAATTTATTCACTTACACATCAATATTATGTGATAAGTAGTTATTATGACTACCAGGTACATTCTCAACATTATACATAAATATTTTTTACACATACATTTTATCATATTTTATTTTAATAATTTTGTTTATCTATTTTTTTTTATAAAACTTATATTACAACTATGTTTGTTTCCTATTAAGATCGCTCCTTTAATACACTTAATAGATACTAAATTAAATAATAATTAGACGCGATCTAAATAAATGCTCTTTATTTGGTGTTCATAGTATATCTTATAGTAAAATAAATTAAACCTTCTGGAATAAATAAATAAATGCCTCTTGGAAAAATTCCACTTTGCTCGCGGGACTCTAACTTAGCAAGAATATGATTAAATTCAAACAACTCTTCTAAAGATTTTCTAAAAGATCATTAAACATAGAGTAGGTAGTGTCATCCCGATTCAACTTCTACTGCTCTTTTTTAGGGTTCCGTATTCTTGAAAAGGAACCCTTATAGTTTCGTGATATCGGTCTGTCTGTCCGGGCCCGGTTTTGCTTGGCTTTGGAAAATGTTAGTACTAGAGAGCTGTAATTTTGTGGAGATATGTATATCAATCACACCGACAAAATGGTACAATAAAATTTTGAAAATATTTTTTAGGCTTGCTCCCCTACATGTAACCTGGAGATGATTTTATTTTTAATCGTCTATCCCATCGTCTTGGGTATCGTTGAATAGGTCCTTTAAAATCATTTCAGAGTTCCTAAGACTATTTTTCGATGTACTACTTTTTGAGGCCAAATATTGAACTTTAAAGTGTTAATTTTTGTACGAGTAGGGCGCCCCCCTCTAAACGCTAAAACTATTGGCTTGAAAAACCTGGAAAAAATCATGATAATAGTGCTTTTCATGAACTTTTAAGGAAAATAATAACGGTTCAAAATGATGACCTAATTAAAATTAAAGAAAAGTTTACTAGAAAAAAAATCCACGCGGACCAGGCAGCGGACGGGACTCGAACCAGCATCCTTCGCTATCCGGGCGAATGCACTGACCATTATGCTACCACGGCCCTGTTAGCCGCGCCGAAATTTTCCTAGCCTTAAGCTGCAAGGCAGCGCCATCTCTTCGCATTGTAGGTAACCCACAATGTGTGGATTTTTTTCTAGTAAACTTTTCTTTAGATTTAAGCATCTAGCAGTTAAATGCTTAAAAAATAAATAAAATCATAACTAATTAAAATTACTTAGAAGAAAACTTAGACGAAGTAATTGCTTAAAATATAGACATTTTCCAAAATTTAAGCAACTACGGAACCCTACACTGCGCGTGGCACAACACGCACTTGGTCGGTTTTTTTTATAATGCAAATAAACTAACTTCAGCATGAGTTCGCTTTTCAGCACCTTTTTTATAATAAGTACACATAGATTACCAAAATGTTATCTAAAATGATGAAATTATTTTCATTTTAGTAAGTACTTATCACATAGAACGGACATATTTTCTGGTAAAAATTTTAATAATTCAGTAAAAAAATATTATTATTGTCTTTAATCAGATTCATTTCTTTAAACTTTATTCATGTAGACGTGAAAAATCAATTTTCCTATACTTACTGTTTTTTTATTTTACCTAATTCATTGAACAAAAACACGTAAAATTTTAAAAAAAATTAAAAACGCTAAGAACATATTATTCCTTTTTTTAGCGTCTTGAAATATATTTCTTTCGAGTATGACTATTTAAACAAGTCTACAAAAAAAACTAGCTAATAGTATTCATTAAATCATGATTATTTCAACTGCAAGTATTCTCTTTCATTTCATTCAGTTATAATTATAAAACCATTAGATATTTTATAAAAACAAAAGCAATATGGTTCATCCAAAAATACCAACCGAGAACTTCCTCCTTTTCGAAATCCTTTAAAAATCAAATGAAAGAGAAAATTTTTGCTCGCCACCTCATTCATCAATATTGGTCAGTAGTTTAACCACATAAGTAAAGAAAGGTACTGTACTGATATTGCAATCCACGAAGACGCTCCGCACGCACTATTATCTGTACGTTTCTTTGCTCATGTGCTTTATCCGCTAAAATGTGGTACTTACAATACAATCGTTAACTGCTAAAATCTTTACTTTTCCTTACGCCTTGAAGCAGTCGGCCAAAAAGTCATAGTTTCAAAATCTATGCAAAAAAAAAATAACCGTACAGATATTGAATAATCAATTTTAAAATAAAAAATTGAAATATTTTTGAACATTATTAGTAGTCGTCGTCACCAAAAATACCGCCATCATCATCATCATCGCCGAAGTCATCATCGTCGTCATCGGCTCCGGGTGGGACGAGCGCGCCGTCCAGAACTTCACTGATGGGCTCCTCGAATCCCAGCACCTTCGCGAACCCATACACCAGCCTCATCACAACCAACCGCGTAAAATCAACGGGAGTCGTCTCTTTTCTTTGCAACAACAACTGTTTCTCCGTAGGGTAATCCTTTACTCTGCTCCTTTTCATTTCACAAGAAGATATCACTAGCAACACAGTAATAAAAAAAACTAAGATTCTGCTGCGCGCCATTTTTCGTTGTTTGAATTTCGAAAATTAAAAAAAAGAAGTTCTGCAAGCTGCGTTCCGATTTATATTTTTAGCGACTCAACGCATAGTGAGTTCACGGTCGTGTTGCTCAAAGGAAAGTGAAGACTGTAATGTGTCAGTCGAGTAACGGAATGTTGTACGACCGAATGAAGGTAGCGATCGCGTGCAGTCCATTGTGCCAATATGTATATGGATCGCCTCAAAACAGGCGATCGCGTAAGAAACGCATTTACTGTTAGCCATGCGGTTGTATGAAATCTGATCGACGTATTTGTGCAAATAGATTTGAGTTGGTAGGATCTCACTGCAAAGAATACGGCATTCGTTACTATTCAACTTTACTTGCTTGCTTTAAGTATAAGTAGTCTAGCAAAACTAAAAATTTGACTAAAAATAATTTGACTCGATTTTCTCTATAAAAGTCTAGCGGTGACATTTGTCAGTTAACTTTTAAGTTTAATTAGACTTGGTACTGTCACCGCGATACTAGCGAATATATGCGATGGGTAACCAGAGTAACCACTAACTAGACACCTATTTCTTTACAAGGCGAAATCCTCCCCAACCTATATTAAGTTTAGTGTTCCATTTACGAAGATAAATATCTGATGCGGCAAAGCTGGGTGTCGAACCAAACATTCTCGCCCTACCCTGTGAAGCGCTGGATCTTAGCTGGATCACAAAATGTGGCTGGAATCTTACTCATCAACAGAAACACAACATCGCCGTAAGGTTAACTACCTTACGCCTTAAGGCAGGGAGTGGTTATTTTTCTGTGTTCTTCCATAAAGTCACTTCACAAGACGAATGCTTCAATTCAACCGTAAAATATTTTCCTCACTCTCTTTAACTTTCTTGTTTTCGGAGAACAACTTGGGTATACTTATCCAATCAATGTCAAATGCGATGTTGTCGTTGAGGGAGACTTTTGTTCTAAACTAGCATGTCGACCTCACCATATTACCATTACCATAATTCACTAAATTAAGCTACACTGGAAAGGGAGCTGCTATTTTACTCAAAAAAACATAGAAAACATGGATTTTGCTACTTCCGAGATTTATTGAGCTATTACTTCTATGAGACATCCTATGTAACCTACTGGTTACATTCAAAATCGATTTGTTTAACGTTACGTTCCTTCAACTACAATGGCATTTTATATAAACTGGTTTTAACTGCGCAGTACTGTTTTTTTCTTCGTTTAAGTAATTGAGTCTGGGTAAGGTCAGTTGTACGTTTTGGCATAGCGCGAAGGTATTCAATGGATCTAGGCTGCTGTTTCAGGTCAGCTATGCGTAGCTACGTCTGCCTTTCTTGCGACGAGAGATTTTCAACACAAACTAGGTATACCTATTGTTATTCAAGATGCGAACCTACATTGATGACATCTATGTTAAATTGAGTTTACATAGAGGCGAACACAAACTATATAGTGATGCTAGCGCATGAGGCGAAAGTTAGATGGAGCCTAATACAGTTTCGGCTCAAATTGATGAATGTTTACTTAAAAAAAGGCTTTTTCTTCATTTAATTTTGACATAGTAGTGCATTATATTAAAAATATGTCTGCCCGTTTAATGGCTTGATGTGGTAAGCATGCAACAAATAGTCAGAGGTACAATTTTTTTATTAAATGATATGAGATAATTTAAGTTGATCAGACAGTAATATTTTTAAATGTGGTTTAAATACCTACAAATATATCGGAAAATTACGATCCTGTATGTGTTGTATTCCACCTGTGAGTAAATGCAAGAGGTCAAAGTCCTTTGCATTTAGGGCTCAAGCTACCTAATTAGCAAGTTAAAGGTGGTTGATAAATTGAAAGACTTCTCTTTACCTGTACCATCAAAGGAGGTGGAGAAGAGAACTCCATCTATATTTATTTGTACCTAATAGAGGACATATACACTACCGGCCGCTCGTGACTCCGTCCGCGTTAAGTTTGGATTTTTGAAAATCCCTCGGGAAACTTAATTTTTTCAGGATAGAAAGTATTTTATGTCTCAATCCAGGTAATAAACTATCTGTGTGCCCAATTTCATCCAAATCCGTTTAGCCGTTTTTGTGTGATTGAGTAACAGACACAAAAATAGAAACTCACATTTAAGTAAGAATTAGGTGGTACTTGAATGAATCCGTCTTGGGACTCTAAGTTTTTAAAATCTAGTTAGGCCTAGGCTGGGTAGACGGGTAACGAAGTATTCATGGTTTTGATACTAGAAGAGGTTTTCATGTCTATATCATCCACCAACGTTGTATTTAATGGTAAAACAAGTATTTAGTTTAGATATTCATAAGAATCAAATTGTTACTGCGCCTGGTGTGTGCTATGTCATCTACATATGTTGTCATTTTTCTTCTAATTATAGTTTCATCGTAACGTGATAAACTACTTAACAAACGACTGCATCATGAATGCAACGTCTGTCAAGTATCAACTGTGTGAAGTAATTGCCCAGAGAAAATA